ATGAAACTGGGGTGACAGCCTCCAAAATTCGATATCTGGAATGCTGGATCATATTGCGACGGCTCAGTTTGCAATACAAACAGCTCGGGATTGTGGAGAAGTAGGTCTCACTTGATATACTTTACTACTTATATTAGTTTCGAAATTTGCAATAAAAAATCCAGTATGTCGACGGTAGCGAATGAGCAAATTGCTCTAACGGATGTAAATTACACAAAAGTCAAACATAACTCTTAAGCAAACTCTTCACGCTAGATCGACTGCCTGCCTCGTTAAACATCTAACTAGCTGCTGTAGTTTGAGCGCTTTTACAGCTTCTATCAGTAATGAATCTCAAAAGGTTTGTTTCCAAAATGATGATTTGGAGGAGTTATGCAATATGCATAGGGAGCTGAACTCATCCGGTGTTCTCATTCTAAATAAAATGAAGCCAAAAGGTGATTATCAGCAGCAATGTTTGATTTTTGCTCGCTAGAGATGACTTTGGCCGACATCGACTGGGTAAGTAAATGCGCACTTTGAAGTTGTGATGTAGCAGGAATTATATCAACGGCTAGGAATTTTTAACACAATATTTGATAGTGTGATGTGACCAGGGCACAATAGAGCAGAAGCAAGACTCATTTGGTCGGCTTAATTGTTTTGTTTACTTACAAAGACCATTGTGCTATGCCTAAGCAGGGCTTGTGGGAACAAGACGAGATGATCGAGATTGCCCCAAGATATCTTTGCTTTTGGACCGGTTTGTCCCATAATTCTGCGCCATTGAAACCAGCTCTTTAGCCATCAGCAAAGACCGAAACAGGCTCTACTTTGAAGTATTATATCCAGGGAGAGAAAGAATCCCTGGTCAGCAGGAAACAACCAAACATACAAGTCTCTACGGAAAATTGTAGCCCTTCGACTTACTTTTTGCTCGGAATTGGGATAGAAGCAAAAGGACTATCCCCATAGTGGGAGAGAGGTGGATATGCGAGTACAAAATCCGTTCGCTCAAAAATTTGTTTGACTTGATGCAGCGATATAGTATGACAATTAAAAACCCAAACTCCCTGTTCCGAAACTTGTGTACACATGGAATCTCCACTGTTTATCATCGCGATTTTGTAAATTAATTAGAAAGAGTATGCCATGTTCCAGATGCCGTAAATTGCACTATATCAGCGTCACAGGTCTGGGCAATTGCTTGGTAAATTGATTGGCGAAAGATACTGTATTGTGGTAAAGAAATATGTGACCCCTAATTCTAGTTATAGTGGCTATCCCTAGCCGAGAGCAAAATGATTTCCAATCATGTTCTAGGTTTTATGTTCTTGTGTACCATTTGTGCGCACCAAGTCACGTCGTATTCTGGCCCCGTAGGTCAGGCTGCGCTCAGGAATCCAATTTCCTAGTATGTCGCGTAATGACGGTAAATGGCTTTCCGGCACTGATTGCGGGTAGAAAGGCCGGAGGTTCAGGTGTGACATTGAAGATTGTGCTTGCCAGCCCGAGGACACAGGTCTACATGGAGTCAGCCCAGGTCGCTTTTCAACACGTCCGCGCTTAGAATGTTAAACCCCAAATGTTCCCGGTTCTCATTTTTTGTACGTACCTTGAGAATTTCTTTGTCGGCTCACATGTTGAAAAGGCTCGACTCACTTGAGCTAACGGGGCATCGGGTTGCTTAGGATTCGAACCACGGCGTCTTCCAGGCATATCCATCTCTGTGATAGTTAAGACTTTTTTTCTTGCAGAAAAACGCAGGAGGAAACCATTTATATATGAGAATCCTCAGCAAAGAGCTGTATCACTTAATTATCACGCCATGGTATTGAACGGAAATACTTCTACAGCCAAGGTACACTTCAGGGCCCCACACGTTCTTGTCTTCATGTTGACATATAAGTTTAAATAGTAGCATGCTTCAAATTAGAAAGATAAGCTGGCTGTCTTTTATGTTCATAGAATGGAATAATCAGGGAACTGCATCACGTAATGCGCAAGACGCATTCGTTTGAGCGGGGAATATGGTAATAACTGCTGGCTCTTCCCTCCATGTAGTCGGATTCTGCTCCAGCGTGCGTATACCCCATTTATGACGGGTCAATGATGCACCGCGACCCCAAGTGAGTACCCTAGCACAAAACCAAAAATGCTCGTCTTCCTAGCCAGGTGTCAGAGAAAGGAAGGGGCCGGCTAGATGAAATATGACTGGGCTTCATTCAACCTTGCCCATAGATCTTGAGTATTATTTAGCTACCAAAACTGAAGCCCATTTAATCAAACTAAGAATCAGTCACATATTGGTGTCGCTCTTAGTATGGTGAAAAATCAACACTAGTGATCAATGTTCCCCTCATTGTCCCCGAAAATAGGCGCCTCGTTATAGTATCGAACAAAGCGTGGAAATTGTCAGAAATGATGAGATGAACAATGGGTCGGCTCCAACATCTAGGCAAGGATTACTGGGGTTATAATCGGAGCAAAGGTCCCCCCCCCCCCCCCCCAACTATGGGTTATGGGTGAGAGCGAACGGCAAAATCTACGGATTTTGAGCGACGACGCACCTTACCAAGAACCAACGTGGCGCTTTTATTGCGTACCATAGAGACTCTGCGCTAAGCTCTTATTCTTCAATGATGGCTCATCAACCTTGAGACAGCAATAAACTCTTGATCGGGCTCATACCCAGACTTGAAACATGATCAGCTGCGGAATTCAACTGACCCCTAGAAGACTCTCGCCTCCACATTTCTGTCATGACTAATCTTCCACAGAAGTGGTAACTTCTGATTCTGCTACTGTATTAAGAACGCTCTAGGCTATTGTGAGACAAGCAGGCACAGCCGCCCAGCAACCTGCCGAAAGTCCACTTCCGTAGGACCAGGTCAGTCAAAGGCATTACTCGGTTCAGAATGCTTTATGCAGTTGGTGACAACGAAACACGAAAGAAAAAGCCGTATCACGTCCGAGACCATGTATCTGGTTAATATTGCCATACAGAATAAGAATTCTTAGATCGTAGTGAATAAGACGCCAAAGTCTACCCTGAAAGTAAAGCAGAAACGGATTTTGTTCGTTCTTACTCCACTTCTCCTTCAACGCATGATTCAAAATCAATCAGCATTTATGTTAAATAAAACGGTGACCGAAATCATATGAGAAGGGCTGGGAGCACAGGACAAGAACTTACTTGAATCAAAGCCACTTATATCTTAACCTGGAGCAGGAGGAGCCTGCATTTCACTTCGAATCTTTATTGTATGCGTTATTCTATTACCGCGGTATGAGTTATGTATGAGCAGTGGTACTGTAGTAAAGGTGGCTATATGTACAGTATATCTACCAGCAAATGTCTTTCATTGGGGTAGTGTTATCACACGCCGCGACAGGGAACTGGATCTTCTGCGCATACTTTAAGGAATCATGGGGATAGAAATTTTTCCGGGAGCGGATAGCGCAAGCATCAATATTAATGGTTAATATTCGCGTTGCAGTATCGTCAACAATTTGTAGTGACTCAGCCTATCACGAATACCTACTCATTACCTTCACGGTCAGAATGTACATATTGTAGTGGGGAAATCACGACACTTGTGTGATTACTGCCTCAGGCAGTGATATCCTCGAGGAAGGGTTATGGGCAACCTACGACTGTAGAGAAGGATGGACAGTTACAACAATGCCACTCATTTCCTGATTGAAGGTTGATGATCATTATGCTCCTTGATATAGCATCCGATTATCACTGTTAAGACTCATTTGCCTGGAGTTCCTAACCTGACTTGTTGGGTTTTCTTGCCACCATATGTCGACCCGTCTGTTTTGACCAGACTGCCATCGAGCATCTCCCATTTCAATATATATATAGTGCGAGGTGATAGCAAGGGAATTATGTTATTGGCCCAACTCTAATCATCAAGTCAACTGTGAGACTATTACTCCTGGCGCCTCTTATTGCGTGCGCGCAACAGGTGATATGATCCTTCGTATCAATTTTTTCCCTCGCCACTTCTTGGCTTTCGCATTGAATAATTATATCCAGAAAGCCTGAACAATCTACAAATTCAAGATGTCTCCTGATTACCAAGTTTCCCCTCCAAGCTTGCTTTCCCTCCAACTCAGTTGAACTGACCGAGCGCATAAGCACCAATTCTCATCAATCCAGTTAAATGGTCTTGGATTGTCCACGGAGACCTCTTGATAATAGCTGAGCTTTCTTGTTTTGTCTTCAATAATGGATACAACTACTAACTGTAGCTCATTTGATGCACTTTTTGTCTTGAAGGGTCACCACGGCCTCCATGTCGCCGTCGGTATATCTCCCCCCCCCCCCCCCCCAAGGGTCAGTCGTATATTCAACACTATATCTACGCTTGAAATTTACTACATTGTCGGTTTCTACCAGCAAAATGTCACCGGAAGAAGATATCGGGGATAATAGGTCGCATATACGATCATTTAGATCAGCGCTTCCACACTCCAAACGACTGGAGCCAATCTATTAGGAACTTTGCCTTGCACTTATGTCAGTAATTGATGTCAGCGGCTGTATATAAAAAAGGCCGTCCCAATTCTCGCTTGGCTCACTAAAGATGTCCAGCTGAAAATGTTTGTGAAAATTACCAGCTGATTTGATGTTACATCCATTTGTGGCAGAGCGTGTCCTTGCTGAAATATCGTTTTATTCATTTCATCTTTAATTTTCGCGTAAAGCAATCTATTGTATTATGTTCTCAAACAATGAGTTGAGATCTCCGCACTGCAAGGTTAACAGATATCGGCCTTGTTTATTGACCCTGCAAGATACAAAGCTAAATGATCTCTTCCCGTGAACCTATATACAGAGCATCTTATGTATGCCAATAGAATTCGATTGTCGATATACAGAAATTGTATTCTAAATTCCATTACCTCGAAAGGAAATGTACTCAAATCCCATGCCCTCGGAAGGAAATGTATTTATATCATCACACCGTCCTCTTTTCTGCGTACACCAAAGTCAAGGTCGAGGTTTATCAAAGATACCTCAAACACTGTCCAGTCTGTAAAGCCGTATCATGCTTCTCTCCAGGAGATGCTGATAGTTCAACCCGTGGAGGGTCTAGTACGTCGTCCAAAAAGTGGGCGAGGGATACACAAAACTGTAGGAATTCTTTGCTCTGCGGCACATAGTGGATTCCAGGAAATTCAAAAACCTTCGCATTCTGGCATTGAGCTGCCAGTTCCCTGGTCTGAGCGGGTAAAATGACTGGATCGTAGGAGCCGATAGCGAGCAACGTTGGTGTAGAAATAAATGGTGTGTAGATCTGCTCGTACAGCGGTCCCAATACAAACCCGCTGAGACAAACGGAAAAGCTGAGGCTGGGATGATGCGCCTAAACAAGATGGCTGGTCAATATATCTCATCGTACATCAGATAGATTACCCTTGGGGCTAATTCACCTTCCAAGTAATGCCGCAGATACTTCGCCTTTTCTCGAGTAAAGATGTAATGATCGCTGCCATAGCAGCGCCGGATGAGAAACCGACAATGCCCACGAACGGACCATCACGATCGAGAGTGTCGAGTATATGTTCAATAGATAGGTCTATCTTCTTGATTTCACCATCACTAGGATTACCATATCCCCAGACCCATCGGTAGCTATCTTCATTCCTATCGGGGTAAGCTGGCAGTCTGCCTGACAAGTATTGAAACTCGAAGGTGATGTCTCTGTCACTAGCGAACACGTGAAATGCCCTCCTGATATATCTGGTTTTGGGCTCGAATATTTGGGCTGATTGTTCATGCCCTAGTCTTCTTTATCAGAATCGATCTTTCAGCGGAGTGTCCCATTGACTGACCATGTAGCATCAGTATCTTCAAAACACGGTCGGGCATGGTAGGAGTGGCAGAAACAGAAGAAAACGTAGAAAATAATTAAAGGTACTTTCAGGATCAGGGCGCAAGTCTCAGTGTTGGCAGTTCAATGATGGCTGCGAACTGGCCAGTCTGGGTTCTTCTTTCTTCTTATAGAGCCGTGCTTGTGAGGTTCTCGCGGCACAGTCCAGATAATATCCGGTCAAATAAGCGCATGTACTGCAGATAATGCATTCATTCGTTGCCAATACCAAAAAAGTCTGGTAAAATACCTCTTATTCCTACTGAATACAATCTTAAATACACCATATGCCGTTATATTGCTTCAATTCGCGCAAAGCAGGGATATGCCCCCTTTCTATCAAGCTAAAGACTTTTGCGCGAGATCTAGTGTATGAGCCAATTGTCACAGACGTTCATTTCAACCCGACAAATACTCAAGTCACTAATCAATACATTACCTGATCTAGTTTGGTGGTACTAGGATACCGCAGTTCCGGAGCTAGGGACGGTAAGACCTCTGTAGCTGCTTTATATATCACTTTCGTCAAAAGAATGGTAAACTCAAACCCCTGACTCGAATACAGCTTTGATCACTGCCAGAAGGACTTAGCAGCCTCTCTTCGGCCACCAAGCATGTATACTTTTGAAGACTTAATGAGCTTCTACGCTCTCGCGCAGTGTGAGACGAACAATAAATCCAGGAAAACAAGACCACGATGATGAAATGTGATACTTAAAAAGCATAACTTGATGCATACGTATTTTATCTTGCTAACTTATTTCCCAATCAAATATACTGACCCCTTTAGCTGACACTTTCACATGACACGATGGGTTCAGCAGACGAATAATCTCCTCAGGACCACCTAAGTGGAATTCTCGGCTCATGAGTCAAAATTCTGACTCTGGTTGCCGTAATGAGTCAAAAATTGAAGCACAGCGAAGAGTTCCTGTAGCTAGTCCACCTTAGCCCATAAGACAGTGTTCAGTAAATTTAGCTCCTCGGTGTTCTTGTAACATCAGCCCAGTGACTGCAGAAGACATAAATACATATATAGGCTCAGAGACTTTTTGTTTCGAAAACCTGCTCTATTAAAATAGCTTTTCGATGATTTTCGATTTTGCTGCATGACCGAAAATCCTACGCATCAATGGAGTAATATAGGCTATGCTACTATCCCCAGTGATGGAAAACGCTCCATCTAGCCAAAATGCTTGAATGAGTTTGCCCTTTTTTTCTGATAGCAGTTCTTAGTTGATTTTGTTGATTGTATCGATGCGCATGGCATGAACACGGTACGTATAGATAGAGCTTAGCTCCCACGCTCCTATGTCCTTGTTCTCATGTATTTTCATTTTTACTTCATTGTTTTTAAATTAAGGCCTTCAAATAAAGGACCTCCTCATAAGCTTTGAAGGTGTGACGGTGCGAGCATAAAAGCAAAATACCGACTGCACGTTGCTACAGCATATCCACGCCTATCGCCGGGAGTAGGTGACTCATCCGATCACGAAAATGAAATAATATGTACACTCAAACATGTTGAGAGCTCTCTTAGGTTCACAGAAATATTTCTATTTTGTGTCTAGACCAAAGACATGTATGTTCTAAGACCAAGTCAATGCCGTGGCGATGGCAATTAATGTCTCAACAAATAGAACGACAGTGAAGACAGTGTCGAAAGCGATCGAAAAAAAGTGATTGGGCCACTTCTGCATTACCAGGTGGTATACATCAGCATGTTGAGCTTTATATTGAAATGTAGTGGTATGGGCTGGGATGTAGAGACGTGGAGGCACAAACCCACACCGGACGCCACATCGTCAAAAGTTCATATATAATTTTCTCCAGACAAGTAATTCATCCACATGTTATTTCATAATTCAAGATTTGCTTTTGAGGGTGAATTAAAGGGCTTTGCTGTCCGGACGGCTCGTAATAATTTTTGGGGATAAAAGCGCAGGCTAACCACATCTCCGTGAGTTTAACTTCGATTCAACTATGGAAAGAGCGCGACTCTCGGTCAATACTGAATTCATAAAGAGCTTAAATATAGCTGGGTCCCACGGGCAGGATTTTCCACATCCGCCAAACACAAGTATGATCACGAACAAGGATACTGCACTGATCTAGCTAGCATATCCGATTGCCACCGTAGATTCCGAACATTGTTCTCTTATAGCCTCAATTTCTCGTTAAGTCTTATCCGGAGTGGGACCTCTGCAGCACGTAGATGATAAATCCATCAACATTATGATCTTCTTCTATCAGACAGATTCGAAGTCTCTTAATCTCAGCCTGTCGTAGCTTCCAATTGAATAATTCTTCAACAAGCCTTCATCTCTGTGCAGTGCTGATTGCCGCTGTGCGTCTAATTCCTGTGGACTTGTAATTTCATCATGATGACCTTGCGGTTTCATACAGGAGAGTAAGGAGCAGAAAAGACTGTTCCATCATCTCCTCGCGTAGCTTCCCGTGACTCATTTTGCTGTCCAGTCATAATAGGAACCTTCTTAGCATATCGACTTCGGCTCCGTAACTGAGCACCGAACTTCTGCAGCAACCATGGGACGGGGGTGAGCACCATCATGACCACTGCACAGGCCGTCATTGTCCAGTCAAACCCGATAGAGTCGATAAGATCAATAGTGAATAATGGAAAGACAGACGAGAAAAGGTACCGCATAGCTACGTCAACGGCGATTGCAGACGCTCCAAGCTCGGCACCGTAAACTTCGTTCTTGTACAAAGGGTAAGAGAGCTATAATAAGTTATTTTGATCAGTAGCGACACATTTAATGACTTGGAGAAAATTCTACCTGGGACAAGGCAAATCCTAGTCCGTACGGGATACCCGCAAGGAGAGGGCAAATCCAATGGACCATTGGGCGAGCGGTCCATGCCAGCCTAGATGCCTTCGGTTAGTGTGGCAAGCAAGAAACAGTGATCGCTATGCATCTTACCAGAGAAGACTGATTGGCAGCAATATGGCTGCTAGCATGGCCCCGGGGAGATTGTCCTCGGGAACCGAACGATTCAGACGACGCTTACGCCTATCTACCATGGATAGCACCGGTGCTGCCAGCAATGTCCCAACCAAGATTGGCAAGAATGCCAACCCCACTTGGTATGGGGAAAATTGATATGTCCGTTCCAAGATGACGGGGTATCCTGCATAGAGAATAAAAATGACAATCTGGCTCATTGTGACGATGGCGGCGGTCGGAAGCACGATAGGCTCGGCCCAGAGCAAATGGATTGGGCGCAAAAATGCAGGTGCTAACGCTTTCCGTGGGTCGCGCCTTGGAAGCTTGAGCTTTTTTCGTAGGATTTCAGGCTCGAAGGTCTCTGGTACGCAAATCATACCAAGAATACATGCCCCAACGAGGATCGCCGTCAGCCAAAATGAAGATCGCCAACCATACACGGCGACAACAGCCTCTCCTATGACTGGTCCAATCTCTGGGGCTGCCGCGCCGCCTAAGCCATACAACACAAACAGAGGAACACCCAGTCTATCTTCGGGCATCTGCCACAGATCATTGAGGACCCCAGCAAAGACACTAACCGAGGGAGACCCGACGAGGCCCGATATCGCTCGACATACAGCGATGGTACAGAAATTTCGTGCAAACCCCCCCCATAGTGTAAAGGCGAAATGTAGTAAAAGAGATATCTTGTAAACATATTGTCTTCCGAATTCCTCAGAAAGGGCAGATGTGCACATGGGACCGATGGCAAATCCTAGAGCATACAGCGTGACCGGTAGAATTGCCAGGGTCCTGCCCACCTGGAACTCAGCCATAATTCCAGGTATACTTGCGATATAGATTGAAGTCGTCAATGTGCTATCAACTCACAACTGTCAGAGCATGGATCGGTAGCGAGCAAGTGAAAAAGGAAGCTCACACTACCAAAAAACACGTTATGGCGCCCAGAGACACTGCAACTTTTCGGCTAACGGCCCAGTGGCGAGCACTGTGTGCTGAACTGGCGCAGGCCTCAGGCTGGATATCTGCAACTGGGGTAAAGGATACCAGTGTCTTTTCACTTGTGAGACTGTTGATTGTGCTGCTGGTAGCACTGTTGGGGGATGATGGGGCATCAATTTGAGGAGAATGGGGTTGCATCATGGGATACTCTTTTTGTCGCGTCATTCTGAAAGCCTTTGCGATTGACTCTTTGATATGTCAATTCTAGGGCTCGATTAGAAATCAATGCAGATATGAAAAGTAAATAGTTAAAACCAAAACTGATCTCCTATCCCTGGAAAAAGGACAATTTATATACATTTAGAGCTCGCTTATAAATTTATGCTTGTGCTGTGATGTTTCATAAGAGCATGAGGTGAGCACGCCTTCACACTGCTATATCTAACGCCGCTCCAACGCTCTGATTCAGTTATGCCAGGATTTTGCCTTACACTTGCGTGCTACCAACGTGAATTTTCCGGAGACGCTATTTGAACGCAAATTTGCCGTCTCGATGAGGTTTACGGGTCAGTCTTATCAATCCTTTGTCAAGTAGCAATTGCGTCATGATCGTACAGTGATACTGTGCCCCCCTTGGCGTATGGTTTTGACTAACAGAAGTCCTAGCACAGCTTTACTCATACAAAATTGGAGAATCCAGAATGCCTCCTATTCCTTGGTAAACGATTTAACGATAGTATGAAGGGGCTCTTTGCTCATACTGGCCGAATAGCATTTGCTGTGTAAGTTTCTTGGTATCAGCAAGCAGAAACCACACTACTGACACTTGCAGACCATGTGCAAAACAGGAATGATTCTGCGATAGTCGTATGGGAGAGAGACGCGGATCGTGCAATTGTAAAGTGAAAATGAGTCTTGAGGTAAGATAACATGCCAAAGCATTACGGAACTATTTAATCGATTGGTGTAAATTTCAAAAAGAATCATTGCTGTAGTGTTTGCCGTTGTCATTCTAATGTGGTGTAATTCTGAAATTTATTTAGCGCCTGGGCCTCGGAACTATTAGCTTAAAGAAAAGATGATGTAAACATCAAGAATCGTTGGTTTTAAAAGATCTTCTTTTGCTATTCAGAGGATTGTTTTGAATTAGTAAGAAGATGTTGCTTTATGTAATGACCCTCAGCTTCCTGAGCTACGTCTAGATCAGGAGTCTATAAGCCCAAATACAACCTCGCAAGGATGAAAAATTACCCTAGTCTTTCTAGGAATATTTTAGATCATGGTTCCAAGCAAGCTCAGGATTTTGCCCACAAAGGTTTTGTCTTCATGTGCATTGTTACCGTTTTTGGTGGAAATTTCCAGGTATAGCCTTGTATAATCTGCAAAGATCGAGGCTCTCGTTGCGTAGGGTGTCCTTGAAAATCAGTTTCATTCTAAGCGGAGCAGAGAGAGTGATAGGATTTAAGACGACAAAACTTGGTACAAACTAACACAAGATTGATGAAAGTGGCCAGGAATCCATTCCTGGACACCAGATGGAACTTAGGTTAATGTCGAGGATTTTGGCGGTCAGTGCATATTGCAGGACTGGGGTCTCTACGTGACTGTATATCAACATAGAGGCAACTTGATCCAGCAATACCTCGTGAAGGATAGCCTCAGTGACCTATAGGTAATGATTGGGCTCAATACAGATTATGGTTAGCGGCGCTTACATTTGAAGTTGATATAGCCTGGCCGAAAATGCTGAAATCGTCTAATGCATCTTTAATCAAGATATAGCTTTCAGTGATGATAAGTTATAGCCTGACTTGGTTGTCACCAGCCTCGGTTTAAGAGGGACATGACGTTGAGGATTTCAACTGTGGTACTGTATCGATTGCGTCCGAAGTCGCGAGACTGGTGAATTTCGCGCGGAGGTTGGCTTATGCATAATATCCACTGAGGGCAAGGGGAGAAGAGTATTATTGGTAGTTGATGTTTTGAGTGATTCTAGAAGGGTTTGGCAATTGAGAGATTGTCGAAAGGGCTGAAACTTAACTCACCTTTTTCTTTAATCACACTATCGTTTTGATAAATTTCGGAGCACTGCCGGTAGTCAGACAGAGCTTCATGGATAGTCCTTCGATCCTGATTTCAATCAATAGCGTGTCTAGCACATATGAATATGGCCTGATAAGACCGCGTGTAGCCGGATACCTCGATAGACTGGCTGAATTCAATAACATGTTAAGTACAAAAGGTTGATCGTATAACAATGACTGCATGACATAAATAACAAAAGTAAACGAGAAAATGGGCATGCTGGTTTGCTATTTGGGTCATTCAATTTAGACCTAGCCTCCGTGACCCGAATATAGTGATATTGACGGGTTACTAAAATGCAATAAGCCGGAAGTGTTACCCTGATATACTTGCTCTACGACTCAGGAGTAGAGTTTCGCTCGGTCTGTCGGTCATCTGAGTACAATTCAATACCAGAAAATCTCTCGCAGAGATCGAAAATTCTATGGTATCAGCAGTTTGATTGAAAATTCTGCTTGGGTGTCATCTGCGATCTCGTCATCTTCTATATGTTTCGGTGACCTACCCAGATAAGCATCCACAAGTTTTCCCAGCATACCGACCCAGGTGGAGAATGCGAGGATTGCGGGCAATATCCGTTGAGCCAAAGGACTAGCTTCTTGTGGGTCTGACCTCAGACATTATGAATTGAAAACTGAGACATGCCCCAGCAAATCCACTATGATCTTCGCGTTGGTGGATAGCCGTTGGGTATTGAGTCAGTGACACGAAATATGTACATGTATATAAACATGTGACGTAGCCCCCATGATGTTCAAAAATATTTCCTTGGGCATACTCCTGTATACGCATGCGTATTTGTGCCAAGGATCCTCAGCGAAGGCCAAGGAACGACCACCTCCAAGATGCCATCCACATGCTGCAAAAGCAACCAGTCTGCTTCTCCCATCAGTAGTCTCTCATGTGAGGCTTCTGAGATATGTGGAAAAAAAGATATTTTCAGCAGCCGGCCACCCGTCAACTCCCGGTCCTCGCCAGGTCTCACCCAACGGCCGGTAATCAAAGAAGAGCCAGGGGAAGCACAACAGGCCCGGATGCAGCCCACGCATAAGGCACCGGTCGTAAGTGCGCAACCGTTCGTCCCGAAATGGCTTCAGAAGAGCGGGGGAGGTCAGGGATCCATTCCTGGTGTAGGTGGTCAGACCCATTGAACAAACTCATATCGCTTACGCTCAGCCAAGCATTTCATCCTCGTGGCCACCTCCCCATCGTCTCCATTTACTCAATGGGAGGGTCCAGATGTGATGGGGGTCTCAACGGGGATAGCAGATATTTTTGAGTATATCAGGGAGCAGTTAGGTGTATTCTGGATGGAGTGGGTGGAACTTCATATCACTGGATTCTCTCCCTCGCACTTTCCACCGCGTCCTATCTGGGGACGAGTTGATACATTTCATGAGGATTTTTGTTCGCATCAAATGGGGCGTGATGATCTGGGTGCCGTGCGGGATGGGATCTTGCGCCGCAATATGGTCTACAATACACCATATCTCCAAGTGATTATTCGGGTTCGCCCGCCACGGTTGATGTGGTTGGCTCCCAATACAGTTCCAAATGAGCCGCTAGGCGTCTAGCAGTATCTGATCTCTTGTAAAATTGCAATGTTCCTTCCGTATTCTTCGGTTCGTTTGCCGCCCGACCGCTTCGCATACACGAAGTTCATTCAGTCGCTGTGGGGGTTTAGCAAGAACGTCTCTCCTACCTATTCCCGAACTTGTCCCCTACCCGTGGGTATTGTTCACAAGTTCTTGTGCCCACTTGGCTTCCTTCACAAATTAGGTAATTTGCTTGGATGATGACTAATAATATGGCCATGCATATTCTACATGGTAGCCCTACATGCGGTTCAGAACCTGAGTTGAGGCATACAGCAGTGTTCATTCGGTGAAAAAGCCATGATAGCAGTTCAGATTATTTGAAAGCAAAAATATACATTATCTTTTGCCACTTTGTGGAAATGGGGGCAGAGGTTGGATGATTTAAATTGGCCAGTTGGCTGGCGATAGGCCAATTCAGAAACCAATACTTCAAAACTGATAGTTCAATAAATCTAACATGAAGCGCAAAGTGAGGATGGTAGCTGAAAGTATCCATTCATGAATCTACAAAGCCACTTCCTGCAATGGGGTTGGAAGTGTGATCGTGCAGAACTGGCCAGTTGACTCGTCCTGGGAAACCGATCTCCAAAAAATCACGGAAATAAATTACTACATTGTACCACAGGGTTAGAATAATAGCTCATAATATTGGTTAACAATTACACAAAGCCCCGTCTTGTAATTGAGTTCGACATGCGATCGTGCAGAACTGGCCAGTTGATTGGAGGAGGAAATCCCCGCATCAAAACTAACATTGAAGTAAATTGGAACCTGGAAACGGTCGAGTATCCAAAGTAACGGTCAGTCCAAGTATCGCATGGGTCATAGCGTAAGATCTTCTGGCTTCACTTGGGACTGACCTGTTTTATCGACAGTCTCGTATCGACGGTCCGAAGCGAGAGAGCAAGGAGCCTCGTGCCTCTCTGCGTCCGACCCATCTCCTTCGACAATACCCAATGAGACGTGGGTACCTTGGAGGCTCAACTTGTTTCATTGCACATGTCATACATGGTCGGAGCCTCGGGCAAATAATTTCTAAAACCAGGCGTTCGGGACCAGGGCTTGTAACCACAACATGTGGGATGCCGTTGCCTGGAAATGCCATCAGGATGATTGATTGAGCTTCAGCGTGTCTGCGAAGAAATCGAGGTTGGAATGGAATGCCCTGACTGTACACTCGACTTGATAAGTTTCTTTGTTGACAGTGGGGGAATTGCGACTTTGTTTGTGTACTAGGTTACATCTTGCATCCCTGGCCCCAAACGCACCGTTCAAAAGTGGCACATGATGAGACGCCCACTTTTGGTCTATTACAATCTTTCCACTGACAAGCTAGGTTTGTGAATGCCACGGGCGGCACCGAGACCATGGTCTATGCTCTTCAACGTCAATCCAACTTTGGTTCAATGCTCATGTGCCGGAGACGTTGAGAAGCGCACACCACTCCACTCATGTGCTGGGGTCGTCCTACACTGCCAAAATGCCTATTATGAGCATATGCACAAGGAAGAAAATGTGTGATAATGTAGCCAAGCCAGGATGTTTCTCCGTATGTGAAGGCTCGACAGCCTGCGTGTTCCAAATTTGGAGCGCTAATAGGAAAGACCCGGTCCAAACGTTTACTGGTTGGGAGGAAAAGTGATGACTCGAAGAGATATCATCATGCAGTAATTATGCCAATCTTTTTTTACTGAAGAACGTTTACATCAGATTCGTCAGAGAGTAGAAGCTACAGTAGCAGATAGATTATGTCAGGTGAAGCTGGACACTGAATGAAAAATGAGGAAATTTTGAACTACGAACAGCGCGCCGGGGGAAAGATCACCAATAGAGTCAGTGGCTCAGAACCTACGCATGTCGCCCACCTTATCGCGACAGTCCTTTTGGAGAAGTGGCCGGTGTGCTACCGGAGCGACCGTCGGCATTGAGCCCCGGGGTCAAGAGCGCCAAGTATACTTGATGGAGCCCGCCCCTTATTATCTGCGTCGGATCAAAATGCTTTTTCTTTAACAGCAAATACCGCAAAGTCTCCCAAACCTGCAACATACATTGGCCTTTCCGGAAAGAAATATTATGTTTCTGGATGTGCGTTAGTACCGATGCTTTGAAAGTGTGCACAAAAGGCAGAATTTACCCGAAGCCACGCTGTTTGGACCGTCAATTTCGAGGGATCCAGCTCTCTGCACTCCATTTCGTTGCAAAATCGATGAACAAGCCCAAATCCCTGGAACATCTCCCAATCTGTAGCTGGTGACTGGGGATGGAAAACCCACTCTGCCAACCTCGTGCAGATTTTGACCAGGTTTCTATCGCTATCTCTACTGTCGCTATGCTGTACCGGGACTGGTTTGGATCTTAAATAATCTTTGAGGTAGGGGATCTCATCATTGGCAGGGAAAAGCCCCGAAAGCGATGGCGGAAGTGGCACCAGGCCGAAGAATCTTTTCAACAATAGCCAAAAGTCATGTTCATTAATGCACCTGGGTTTTGAAACGTTGCACAGTCGATTGTATCCCGAAAACAACTTTCTGATACCCCGCGTCATGCGGAAGGACGAGAATGGGAGAGACAATGGGAGGGACGCGAAGACACTGCGCTGCGATCGTCCTAGAGCTGTGGCCTCTACCCTGCAGTACATCCGCATTGATGTCTTGCTGTACCGTGACGAGCTACGGTGGCTTTTGGTCTTGTATCTACGTGCTGTTGTAAGTAGTGGCCGACTCTCAGACTCGTTTCCAGCATCGTCGCATTCCAGAGGCGCTTCCGTATCTGGAAAGCATGGCTGGCATAGATCTTGAAGCTCAATTTCATCCGCAAACACGCCGTGGATATTATCTGCTAGAGTAATAGCATTCCAAGATGAGGGGAAGCCTTCTTGGTCGTCTTGAGATTCGAATGACCGTAATTGCCATGCGGAATTTGGCGTGAGTGGCAGAGGCTTACTTCGGCAGCCCTCCAGTATACTGAAGTTCTCCGCGCCGACTTTGACTTTGCTTCTGGATGGGGACTGGGCACTGAGCCGTTGGGGTTCTTGATGAGTGTGCAAGCCGTCGCCTTTCCTTTGGCGGAGGCTGGCTGAAACGAACAACTCCTTTGTTGGCATCATCGGGGTCAACGATGTTGATGGCATATAATTGCCAATGCTCTCGGCTGACAGATTTTAAGATGTTTTCGTGTGGCGTTCTAGTAAGAATGATACCATAGAATCCTCACGCTGAGCCGTGACTAAAAGCCACGATACCTCGGTTTACTTAAGCCGTTAGAAAGCTGATGCCTGGCTTGGCTCTCGCTGGCAACCACCAGGCTATTTAATTTTGGGACTTCCAAGTATGGCGAGGAGTCATTCAAGAAAATCCATCCCGAGGCAGGCACGGAGGTGACAAAATACGATATAATTGGGAGGACAAATAGAGTTGCGCTGGGGTAGGGTTTGTGCCTTTGAGTAGCTGTGTGGCTATATTAGGCCCTGGAGCTAAAGCCAGGTTTATCATGCTCGTGAAAAAGCAACACCACTGAAGGGTTCTCGGTCCAAAACCGGCTGTTGAACAATTATTGACTTCCCACCGCTGATGAATTTGGCGAGTATAGAGCACCTTGTGACTAGTATGAGGGACGGAAGCGGAGGCAGAAGCTCGACAGCAATCCTTTCAAAGATTGCTTGGATCTAGGTAATTCTTGTTTGAATCGAGGAAGATATTGATTGTCACGTAGAGTAGGCCGAGGCAGGAGACTGTTTTTATCATACCACTTTGTTGAGTGAGGACAGGCACGAATGAGAAGATGCTGTGGATTGAATCTGCCTGCTCTAGGTGTGTACCTCAGATCCTAACTTCAAGCAGGCCTTTTAAGCAGGCCCTTTAAGCAGGCCCTTCAAGTATGCCTTCAGATAAATAGGCCCTCGGATGAAAGTGCTAAGCTGTTTCGTTCAGTTTAGTTCGCGAATATAGAAGTATAATAGGGTTGATATATAGGTATAGTGAATCAACACGGAAAGTATAACGGACTACAGGGCTGCAGCATCCCTGCCATTCAATTTACTTGTCTTGCCATTCTACGCAAGCTTCCTCGAAAAACCTGTCAATACTGGATCCATCCCAAAACGGATGCCCCGTGTTTATTAGCCCCGTGAGATATTGCTGGATTTCTCCCAATCCGCGTTTCATGAATCCAATGACATTTCCTTCTGCGTGAAGCTTTAGCATGCGGCCGCGATGAGTATACGAGATGAACTCCACACGAGCATGCCTGTCCGGTCCTGGCCTCCGTGTCTGTTTTAGGGCAGAATGCTGTAACAGTAAAGATTTCAGGACATGCCAGATCTGGAGCATGTGTTCTGTTTCCGCCGGCTGAATGTCACGGTACTGAGAAAGGAGGGCGCCAGGCGTGTTAGTCAAGAATTTCAGAGCAATGACAGAAATGAAGAGAAGGAATTGGAGACGCCGAACAGACAATGACTAGGGAACACTTACCTGAAACCATCGGAGCTGGTCCTCCTTGTTTACTGCATCGAGATTGCCCCCCTCATTTATTGCACACCTGGCTTTTGAACCGCATGCTTCCACAAAGTCCCACAAAAGCCCGAATCCCCGGTTTATATTGTGACTGGCATTGTCATCCAGCCTCAGGCCACGCAGTCGCCCTCGATCAAGGTTCAGCCGATACGGAGAATCAACAATGAAATTCCTTAACCAAGCACATGTGGCAGTTGGATATCTCTCGCCATCGACCATCATATCCGGGAGCGGCTGTGAAGCCAAGTAATGTCGAACCCGACGCAGCCTGTCATTGTTGAGAAGATGGGACAGACCCATCAAATCAAATCCGAAGAACATGCACAACAGTCTCTGCTCAGACAGCTGCTCCGGGCTTGGCAAACTTGGCTGGCGAAAGGGCTTGGGAGATGGACGAGGGAAGCTCTGAGCGGCGATTTGAGGCTGTGCTGAGGATAGCCGGGGCCGATGGTAACGGTCGGCATTCGCTGGCCCGAGTGGTGCTTGACGGTCATCAGCAGGAGGGTAGAATGGCTCCAGAGGAAGAGGCTTGTTTTTCTGATCGTGGTCTTCGCTGACACTGGACTCTGCCAAGCGTCCGAAACATGAATGAATTTGGAGATTGGGCTGGGACTTCAAAGAAAAAACTACATTAGGCTTGTGGTGATTGACACGCTCGGATGGATAATCTGCAGACGTGCGGTGACTACCTCTGTTCGGATCAAGGGGCCGCGGGGGAAGTGGTTTCCAGTCGTACGTATCCAGCACAGTGCAGGAGTCTACGTAGCGGTCTTCAGAGACCCAGTCATCTACTGTGTGTTGGCCAGCCTTTTTGTTTGCCAGGATTGGGCTGTGAATCCCTTGACTATTCCAAGCTAGCGGTGAGCTTAGCTGCTCTAGCTCGAGAAGATGATCCTGTTGCATGTTAGAGTATTGCTACTTTTCTTTGAGAGCCATGTCTGACAAAGTTACGAAGTTAAGGATCGCATTTGTTGCAGAACTGCCTAAACGAATCTAAATGTGGAATGTGAACCACCAGAATTGGAAATGACACGTCCAGTTTAGCCTACAGTAGAGCATGCTCTCTTCGGTAAGGAATGGTTACGGAGGTGATTGTAATTGTAAGGTGCCGGTCAAGCCCCCTGGACAATATCTCTGAATATCGCTTGCATGTCTCGACCGAGCGTGGTTTGTCTGGTGACAGAACCGCCACCTCCGCTTCACCAGTCCTGAATCCGCGCAGCCAGACAAAAGACAGACAAAAGACAGACAAAAGACAGACAAAAGACAGACAAAAGACAGACAAAAGACAGACAAAAGACTGACAAAAGACTGACAAAAGACTGACAAAAGACTGACAAAAGACTGACAAAAGCACTACGCGCATATGGATAAGTATTTGGTAACATTGACGCCCCATTCCTTTTTCCTCATGCAGGCTTCGATCCAAACCAGTCTCCGCCCAATATATGGCCATGCGATAGGCGCACTGGTCAACCAAAAGACTACAAGTACTGAAGAAAGCCCACAAGTAAGTTACTGTCCATAAGCAGATTTCACGAGAGCATTTGACTCACTGAACATGTGGACTTCAAGGCTCTCACGTAGTCCAGTGACGAGACGTTTGTGGGCTATGTGTGTTGCTTCTACACGAGCTATTATTACCTTGTGAGAGAGTTATTGTAGTAAGTAGTTGTATGGGCCAAACCTCACGATAATGTACTATCATTTTCTGCTCCATGCCGTTCTTCTTTTAAGCTTAATTAGGAAAGTGTCAGAAAATAGCTGCTATTGTTAACGTGGCAATGACCTGTCTCGATATATTCGCGTAACCGAAGATCACAGTAGCCACATAATACTTAGCTAACAAATTTCCGACCAGAATTCATTCGTTTTACCCGCTCCTCAAGGCTATGGTAGCTACCAAATCTAACAAATCGGAGAAGCTCTATGATTAGCTCACCATCAGGAAACTCTTTCACCCTTGCCAATATCCGTCAATAAATCGTTAGGAGAACGAAAGAGTTGCGTGGGAGTAGCAAGCCAAATTGATCACCAGGATAGGCTGAACGGGCTCGTCCAGCCTGCGCATATTCCGGATTAACTGCCAACCACAGTGCTTGATAGTGCCCTCAAAACGTATGGTGGGAATTACACTAGCAGCATACCTATTGAGTCTTGAAAATACAGTGCAGTGTAGCAAAAGACTAGGCTGGTGAAACCAAATATGCAGAGACGGATTATTGCAGATGGCGTTTTATTTAGTTCTTGAAAGATTCGATATGCTTCTTTTGGCATGCTTTTTGTGACCGCGCTGCTCCTCTGCGGTTTATTTCCTGGTTTAATTGCTCCATGCCCACAAGCAGCTGAGAGGACAGGACAGTATCATATTATGCTCTGGGAAACCAGGCGAGGGCTTTGACTATCACTGTAGCAGCTCCAGTGAGGCAGCACTACGCCCCCCGAGATCTATTTTTGCTGCACTTTCACGGCAGATGGCAGATACAAAAGAACTACAAAATACCTTTTCAAATAATACTCATCATGAGCCTAGTGGAGACAATCAGGTTGCCTACTCAATGTCAGACAGCTCTTTCTATCTGAACGGTCTTCACACATGCGCTGTGATTCTGTGGATTCATAGCCCAGCAAAAGAAATGCTTCCATTCAAAGTAGCCTATGTCACACTTTTGATGGCTTATTTTCTGGTCTTGTAGCCAGTCAGGGATCTGAAGCGCACGCCAGATAAAACTCCCGTTGCTCATGAATCATACTGGGCACGCCAGAGGGACAGTCAAGCACCAGGACTCTACGCGATGTTCATATAACAATCGTCTATATTTATGATGTCCGGCTTCTCTAGCCGTGGGATTTCTGTAATAGCTGACTCTCATGAGAACCCCAATCTGATCCCACCTTGAGCCCTTTGTGACCTTCAACCAATCATGTATGTGACTACACAGGTCGAGTAGCCCGGTCACACTAGGTCTCCAAAAGCCTGACTAGAGCATTTTTTTCGGTCGTTACCGCAAAGTGCCCCAGCATCTGGACGTGTGGCAGAAGTCCACGTACTGGGTTCCAAGCCTCAACCGCCAGCGTCAAATACCACAAGTGAGCGAAACGGCGAGTCGCGGCACTTTGGTTTGTCGAAATCATCCATTGAAAAAAGACCCGAGAGTCGATGCTTACCCGGGTACTCTTGGACAGTGTGAAAACTGCTTTCTGAGAAAGAGCCGCGGGTGGTTCTTGAGATCGGTGTTGGACAGCAGCATGACCTGCTGTCTGCCGATTTACCAGCCACATCGAGGCCGGCGCTCCGCTTGAAGGCCATACGGACATGCTTGCCGTTTGGCCTCGCAGCTTTCTTCGATGTGGACGCAATCTTTCCAGGCGAATTTGGCGTTCTCAGATCAAGACTGTGCTTGAGAGAGGGCCAGGTCGGCCGAGTCTCTAGCTCGGAAAAGGTCCTCTCGTCCCGAATTGCAGCCTTGGTGGGCGGGTCTCCTTTGACCATGGTAGCGAGAACAGGGACGGAGGAGCGTCAAAGACGGAGAGGGATTGAGAAGAGGCAATGATCTGGGAAAGTATATGGTGTGATCACAATCGATTTGGATGGCCTCTTTTATATTCGCGAAGACTGTCCTCAGCATGGTCCGTTCTCCTAGTCTAGATATTGTCCATTGTTATTAAGATCGAGACACATGATTGATATCTAGCCCCACCGGACAATCTCATTCTTTGTACTTCCAAAAGGTACCACGGTGGCCGTCCTTTCCGTCTTCAAGCCCCATGCCCTTTTTCTTTCGTAAAGACCAAGTCAAGCATGATCATCCGGTACATAAATCGATATCAATGAGAGTGCAATTGCTGCTTGTGCAATTTTCACCATTTCTTAGTCTGTCCAGCTTTCTGCAAAGAAGTGGCAAAGGTCGCCTATCACAGATTGAACTATTCTTTGTGACAGCTCGGGTCACTAGCGATGTTCGCCTTCCTGGAAGTATCCGCAAGAATTAGCAAAGATATGCCAGGCAGGCTGCGTTCCATTCTGTGTTAGGGTGTTAGGGTGTCAGGGTTTCGGGTTTCGGGTTTCGGGTATCGGGTTTCGGGTTTCCGAGACAAGCCCAACCCCAACCCTAAGCCCTAAATGTAATCCAGGCCAACTAGTCACCTGAGCTCTTTCACTGTCCAGAAAGCAGTATGGCGATGAGAAGCTATTGTCTAAAATTTATGCGGGGATTATACCATATCAACTGGGAAGGGGGCCGCATTGAGATGGGTGTCTGAATCGTGTTTGTCCCAGCGACCGGGACTCAGTTTGGTTCTGCCACACGTTGCTGTCTAGATCCGAGCAGGTTCTTTGTTATCACATACAAAAAGCACATGAACAGCCCCAGGATTGCCCAGCAAGGCCATAGGTCACGACACCACCAGCGCATCAAGTGAAGCCACACTGTCCTGGCCACGATGTTAGGCCCTTAGACTGTGCCGCGCACTGATCAAGCATAAGGTGCTCGTGAATGGGGCGTCGGCTAGAAGGGCGCGGCGTTGTTGAGCACCATTGCGTGTTTCTACTGGCAGTTTGAACTTTCCTGCTGCCATTCTGCCTGACACTTTCCAAATCCATACCGCTCCCTCGTAATGCACGAGCGCAATGCCTACTTCAATCTATATCACAAGACTGCATCTCGTTCCGGCTGGGATCAAGCATGTACCTATCAATTGGCAACCCTGGCACGTTGTCACGTTCTACAAACCAGGCCCGCTGTCGGTTAGCGCAGAACCTCCACACTATTACGAAATACCGAGTGACTCAAGCTTTACAAGATCCATTTAACGATTGTCTTGCAAACTCTTTAATAACTTGCTCCAAATGCATAAGAACAAACGTGAAACTTCCCTGATCATGATGTATGGGTTCTGTGAGGACATAGCTCCAAGTCTCGTCCTGCAATAGGAAGTGGCCGCCTGGCTCGCCAATTATGGGCAATGCTGTTGTTCACTAACCGGGATCTTTGCAAAAGCATGTGGTATTGGTGTGGTGTCTGTTGCGGAGAAAATTACACTTGAAGTACTCCGATGCGACACACGAGGCGCTTGCACCTGATTTTCTACGTCTAGTCTGTCAATTCAGGTCCGAGTCCAAAGCACGGCCAATCGCCACCATGGGCTGCCTGCATGGACAACGAGGAACAGCATCGCAATAATCCGTCATCCGGCGATACATAGGTCCCGTGCGACAGCAAAAATCGCAATCACAATACCGCAGAGAAATTCAAAATCTGCAGTTGCAATATGTTATACTAGCTAGGTCAGTACGGTATCTTTGTTCGTAATGATACCATGTGTTGGGCGGCGGATGAGCCCACACCTTCCCCACCACCCAACTGTAATGAAGCTCTTCCTGAAGCATTGATCGAAACCCGCGCGCTTCCCATAGCGGTATTGACCTTAGCCTCGCCATCCAGCGTGTGAAGTGCGACATTTCTAGACAAAAATGGTCCCGCGCCACTCTGACAGCCAACTCCTTCAACTCACCCATCAAGGCGAATCTTGGATCTTGAAATAGCATGCGAATGACTCGCAAAGAAACGCTTCCCCAGTTCTTGTATGCTCTTTTAACGAAGTGGCGTCGTGCGTGGGTCAATATTGCAAGATCTCTGCGCCTCATTCCATACCAATACATCTCAATATCCAACTTGACCCGTCGATGCACGTAGCCTGTAAATGCATCAGGAAAGTAACACTGGGAAGTCTGATACAATTTGGAGTAAATGGCGTTGTCGCGAAACGTTTCCTTGCGTCTCTGACCTTTTTTTCCCCTCCGGTTCCGTTTCTTCACGCGAGCCACCATAATTCGAGCATTCATAGTGACCTGCGTGGCTTTGAGACTTTATAATGGGCTAGAAACATCATTCAAAGTAAACTTGCCAAATTTGAAAGCCCGAGGTAGAGTAATTTCTCTTGTCATCTCTTTTTTCCAGTGCTTCATACTGTCTATTCCCAGCGCTAAGTTTGCGACACTTGGGCCAATGAACCTGGTGGCTTTTGCAGTAATCGGCTGTCCCTTCATAGAGAAGCACCGCATCATGTCCTATACAAGCGTGTTGACTTTGCAAATCTAATGCGCGGCTTCCCTGAGAGGTTCCCTGCTGGTCTGCAGCCGGGCTCTCAATTACGGCAAGTCGGTAAATTGTGGGCTTCAGTAATGGGTCAGGTCTACAAAGTAGAATGGCCGTGCACCGATCTTTGGCACATTCCAGATTTGGGGCAAGAACCTGTGGAAGATGTAGGACAGGCTATACCGCAGAAAGAAACCATTGGCTGTAGTAGTCATGCTACTGCAATACGGCTAGTAGATGATATGTCCGTCCTTCTATGATCGCTCACAATATAGGTACACTAGCAACATCCAGTCAACATGTCCAACTCCTCAAGTAAAGGAAAAGATTCAGAAGTAAGAAAAGAAAAGAGACAGAAGAGAACGAGGGCACAAAACACGAAAAAGCCAAATTTGAGCATGGATCTCAGCAGCTACCTCGAGGCTTCAGGTCACCACACTGCGTTGACCTCGCCCAGACGTGTTTGCACAATGACTCTCTATATATCATAATCCACACTCATTACCCCGGCTGCCTCTAACGCATCGTCCACGGCGGACGTGTATAGTTTGGCATTTTCGAAGTGCACAACGCCATCCCACATCAGGCGATAGGTGGAGCCTCTGACATAGCAAATCAATGTCTCCTGTTTCCAGGCTCCAAATGGATTGTGTCCTCCTGTCTCCGAAAAAAGCGGCTCCGCAATCGGCTCAACATGCTCGTAAGTTCTCCTGTCTAAGCAAAATGTGGCCAGATGTCGGCGCAATCCCTCCACAGCAGGGTCTCCTATCAGGGATCCTTCGTAGAACACCATGATGCACCAGTGGTTCATCGGCCTGAAGAAGCCCCCAACGACACGAAAAGAGCTTTTTCCTTTCAACCCGTCGAATGCTGCTGATTGTTCCACCAGTAGCGGGACGCTGTCTCGCTCATTGCCCTCCCCGAGGAATCCTACCAAGACGACCGTGGATTGAATCATGAAAAAGGCAGCAGTCTGCACAGCTTCAAAATGGTAGCCAATGTTTTGATCTCGTACCAGCAATGTTGACTGGATATGCGGATTGAATTTATTTATAGCTGTAAGCAAGACAAGGAAGGAATGAAAGTCGGCTCTGTCGAAATGCCTCTTTCATAAGGTATATCTGCGTATGCTTTCATTATCTATGACTAATTTGTACTGCGCTACGGTTTGAGTCTAAATGTAAAGAAGAACTAAATGGGGTAGGCAAGCGCGACCGGAATTTGAACAAGCGCGGGTTGGGCTTGTATCCGTCGCAATCCGCCGCGGCATAAACTTGCAGGTTCACCAGCTAGTGGACAGGATTCCTTGGGGTAATTCTTTTTTCTCTCTGTGCGAAATCCTTCGTACAATGCGCAGCATAATATCGCACCATTATGAGAGTCGTCACAGGAAGGCTGTTCTATGAGGGATAGGAGCTATTCAAGGTTTATTTTCCTTATGCATAAAAAATGCAGTCTCGAAATTTGGGCGCGTTCGGAATTCATGCGGCACTTTCTCCCATGCGTCTGTAAAAGGAATTTTTTAGGCCTCGAAGGGAGGGTCGCGCCATGGAACGCCTCTTATCGAGCTATCAAAGAGATGACGGCTCTTTGGATCATGTGTATCTCGTCTGTATTCAGACCACCCATGGGCTAAATGCAGTCTCTTGGTTCTTGAAAATTTGCGGATCGACATAGTCAGCATTCGGGATCAAGCTAAGCAAGGAACACGTGTTCTACATGCCCTAGATGAGACATAAATGACAGTAAAAGGCATTGAAGTATGAGGCATGAGCAATACGCGGCAGTATATGGCTGCCTGTCCCTGCTGCGGCGGCCAATTACTCGGTTGTCCTCTATATCTATATGCATATACCACTTACCATCATATAAATGGGAGCGGTCATTCAGACACTGAAGTCTAGGGCCTTGGAGAGCATTAGTCTTCGAAGTTTGATTGAGTAAACAGGTTTGGTTTATCTTGGAGTCAGTTGCTCTACTTGACTTAGCGCATCTGGCCAAGTGTGGTGGTTCCACTCAACTCTTCACTTATTGATATAAGCAATTGAATGGTTTGAACATGGTGACACCCATGAATATCCAAAACCAATGGAAATGTAGACTCAATTATTTGAAAAACGCTGACTGAGCTTGGGATCTGAGTAGCACCAACCTGAGCAAGGAGCAGTGGAATGAAGCCATCCACGCGCTACTAAGATGCATGTTTTTTTAATGTCTTTTGCTTTTACTTTTTCCTGGATCCTTTTCAATTTCAAATCTAGATTGGCCGAGAAGCCGACTTTATGCTTCGGTTTCTGGCATGTTGACATAGCACTGGAGCTGGTGTCGTGTAATCAATGGGGTAGTTAGATCCCTACTTTGATATGTGAGTATAACTAAAAGTGTCAAGCTCTACGAGGACTGTGTACCCCGACCTCGAGGATTCGCATATCTACCCAAAGAACCTGGTCTATTTTTGAAGGTGTATGTAGTAACAGTGAATCAAAGTAAATACTATTGAGCTTATGAATGATGAATGGCTCATTCTTTCCCGAATATCGATGATTCACTGCAGAAGTCGCCGTAAACTAGTCTGTTAGTCTTTTACCTCATACGACCGTTAGGCTTATCTAAGTCTTCCAAAACGATCCGGGTCAAATGAGCCAGAATACATCACACGAAACAGCCAGTATAGCTTATCGTGGTTGGATGGCAAAGGTCAAACAGCAGCAGTGTTGCGCCGTGTGTGGTGCTCCTCCATTAACATGAGAAATGAAGCCTCTGACCGACCAAAATGTACTAATACCCGTATCCACGAGCGACAGGGCTTTCTGCTACTCTACAGACACCAAATTGAATATAAATTCATAGACTTCAGAAGGCAAGACCTACTGAGCCGGGATGCAAGCTGGTCACAACATTCAGATTCAAAAAGAAAAGCGTCCGCCATGAAGCCCACGATAATCAAAAAACTTATTTCTTACTAGAAGAGAGATGTCGTGTCCGTCTGTTGTGACGACTCTGATGGCATCATGCCGCCAGCTTGCCGTCTATAACGTCTTCAGACGTATGTGAGCGACAATTTACGTAGCGGCTTTTCTGCCGGAGCGCAGCACCGTGCTTTTGCAGAGCCCACGGAACAGTCCATAGACTGAGATGGATAGCTGCGAATACAGACATTACCCAGTGAAACCCGACACGTTCCACGAACTGAATGGTAAACAACGGAAATACAGAGGACACCCCATATCGCATAGCCACGTCAATGGCGAGAACAGAAGCTCCAAGCTCGGCACCATAGACCTCATTTTTGTAGCGAGCATAAACTAGCTGTTCGTAGAATGCATCAGTCATGATCATGCAAGACCGGGAAATACCGTACCTGTGACAATGCAAACCCGAAACCGAAAACTGCGGATGCTAGAAGAGCCCAGGCGCAATGAACATCGTGACGTGGCAGCCAGGCAAGTCTATCAACATGTCAACATATGCCGCGTTGCAAAGGAGGTTTTGCATGTTTCCTGAATCAAGCTTCTTGACAAGGCAAGGAAAATCACAATCCAAAGCTTACATTATAAGAGAAGTCCACATCGCAGTACCAGCCAGCTTACCCCCAACAAGAATGAACTCTGGCTCGTCTTCCACTGTGGCTCGTCTTCTCTCCTCGATGAAAGCCAAAAGAAGGAAAGCCAGAACGCCGGCTACTAGTTGGGGTAAGAAGGCTAACCCGGTCTGATAGGAAGAAAATCCGTAAACCTCTTTCAACATGATCGGAAACGCTGCGTATAGGACGAAAAGCACGACTTGACCTGCCACTGTGATGGAGGTCGTGGGGAAAATGATAGGTTCCACCCACAGCATATGAAATGGGCGTCGCAAAGCGGGGCCCAGGACCTTCCGCCATTTACATCGAGGGAGACCGAGCGCCTTCCTCCGCACTTCTGGCTCGTAGGTTTCGCCTATTGTAAGTGCCGCGAGGAAGCAGACAGCGTCTAGTGCGGTTATCAGCCAGAAGGTCCATCGCCATCCACCAAAGCCCACAATGGACTCTCCGATGATGGGCCCCACGGTTGGTGCCGCAATACCTCCAAGTCCATACAGGAAGAAGATCGGTACGGCCAGGCGGTCTTCAGGCAGTTTCCATATATCATTCAGAACCCCCACAAGGATTGTCACTAGCGGAGAGCCCAGAATTCCACAAAGGGCACGAGAGACCGCCATTGTTCGAAAGTTTGACGCCGTAGCACCAACGATGGTGAAGACGAGGTGTAGGAGCAGAGAGCCTTTCAATGCCCACTGCCTTCCAAATTCCTCTGATAGTGCTGATGAAAGAAGAGGACCAATTGTAAACCCAATAGCGTACAGGGTAACCGGTGAGATCGCCAGTGTAGATCCAACGTGGAACTCGACTCTAATCTCTGAAATGCCCCCAATGTAGATTGAAGTCGCCAGGGTACTGGATTTCAACTTTAGCGGAAGATCTTGCTGCAATTACTTCAACTTACATGACAAAAAACGACGCAATAGCAACGAGAGAAGCGAGGATCTTTTTGGCACTGCCCCAGTGGCGCGCGCTATAGTCCAAAACCTGTGTGGTGACTTTGGCTGGGTGCTGTGCAAAGTGATCATTCCAGTATTTGGTGGGGTCACTGGAGCCAAGGGTGGTGCAAGATAATGGGGACTGCAGGGTAGTACACGATGATGGAGTTTGCGGCTCCTCCAGAACCGTCACTTTCAGGTCGCTCTTTGCGTAAATATCCCGCTTTGCCATGGTAGAGAGTGAAGATACCGGTAAATTCCTGGTAGAATGTTCAATAGTGTAAAGATTCACAAGAAGTGTTAGAATCGAGTTAGATGGTGCTCGGAGAAAGGAGATTGTCTCTATTAAATACTTCTGTTGGCAGGTCGCCGAGACGTAACCCGAGGCTAGACCATCACATGAAATACATGGGTTACAAAGAAGATCAGGTCATTAGGCGGCAAGGCTGGCCTAGCCCTAGGCCATATCGAGGGCATTCATTAAAATAACCGGATATATTGGCGGAAGCTCTTTAGTCTATAGCATGTGGTCGAGCTACCAGGGGTTAGATTTGTGACTGTGAACATGGTTGCTGCTTTTTCTACCACTTGTTAATATGTTATCAATTACAAAAGAATCCACTTCAGACCCGCTCACACTGGATGAATGGTGCAGGACCTCGTCGCATATGTATCAGTCCAAGTCCTCTTTTCACCCAAGAGATATTCTTTCAAGATTGCAAAGTTCCCAGAGTTTGCCATGTACCCCCATCCCCGCTCTGCATACATAGAAGACAAAGGAAAGGTCCAGCGCCTTTTTTACATGCTATGGAATGGATCACGCTTCCAGCTCCGTGCTCGGAAAATTCTCTTCGTGGGCATAGGAAAGAAGGTGATCACTCTTCTTGTTCACCTAGCCTGACCTTTGACAAGCCTAGGATAAGTATAAGTCGCAGACACCGTTTCATCGCAATAGTCCCAATGACAGACTCCATAGCTCCCTCGATGCCCCCGCTGTGACACCTGGAATACAAAATATACTTCTCCAGGGATATTCTCCCACACTGCAACCGAGTAAGGTTGGAAACAAGGCCCGCGCAGCAATTGCCTTGTCTCCTAGCCAGGGTGCTTGCTACTACCCAGGGAAGCTCCACGGGGGGTACCAAGCGTTTCTGCTCGATCAGCTTTTTGCGGACTGTTGTAAACCTGCGGTCACTGCAAGCCTGACGCTCAGTTATCAACGACCGGTACCGCCGGATGCAGAGTTGCTAGAAGCCTGGCCAAAAAAAGTCAATGGGCGGAAGATTGAGATGTAGGGGTCAATTGAGATACTGGACAAAGACACCGGTGATGTAAACACGGTGGTCACTGCCTCTGCGCTTTTTATCAGTCCCGGAAATAAATTTACCGAACAGAGGCTTCTTAGCATGCGATTGAATGTCAGCTCGTTCCATCCCCATGGTTATGGTTCTGATCACGTAGCGGAGAAGGACAAATGGTGATAGAAGTTTAGGTTTCATGGCAAAATAGAGATTTCCAACCAAATGCCATCAGCATCCGAAGTCTCCTCGATCGTACGAGACTGGTATTGTAGCAATGAAGCCCCAGATGTTCGGTGCTGATCGAAAATTCCGCAGAGTTGGCATAAAAGCATAAGCGTAATGGGCTAGGTGAGTGACACTTTGATTACATACTAAGGTTATGACTTTGAAAGTTACACCGAAACTTATCGTAATGATTTGCAGGTATATATCGTACAATTTTATCATGGATCTGTGTTTTTCGTAATGCTCCTCCATTATGACCATCCCATGAAGACAAGGGATTTGTCTATAAGGCGTTCATCATCACAGAATTTTCGAAATACTGAGCACGTGCACCTCAAGGCTCTCATGCAGCCTAACGACGAGAAGTTAGAGGGCTATGCATGTTGCTTCTGTCCAATCTAAAAAGGTTTTATAAGAGACTTATTTTGCAGGAGAGAAAAGCTGCACGCGAATTTGTCTCGTGCAGTTACTGGATGTATAGCCCCAAGCCTGACGAATATTTAGCAACACCTGCAGTTGGCCTTATTCTAAAGCTTGTCTAGGAAAAAGCCAGAGAACTGCTGCTATTGGTAACATGACAATTACCTATCTGGATATTTTCGCGTAACAGAAGATCACAGTAGCCACAAAATATTTACCTAACAAAATGTAAAACCAGGAATCATTCCGTCTACCCGCTTCTCAAGGCGACGGGAACATCGCAGATTATGCAGAATGAGTAGTCTAAGCCCAAGTTCAGGAACAGAACTACGAAGATCGAACAAAGGCGGGGGAAACGCTCATCATCCCAGGATTCTGCCAACAAGGATCGTTACGAGATAGTTGCGTCGGCTAAGCAACTCAATCGGATCACCAGGATAGACTGAAAGAGCCTGCCCAGCATGCGCAAGTCCCTGGCTGGAAAGACAACCCACGTGCATGACAGTGCCCTCAGAACGAATTGGGGGAGCTACACAAGCAGCATAATCTAGTCTAGTTTGATAATTCAGTGGATTGTAACAAAAAGAAGTTGACTGGTGGGAATGAAAGCGCATAGGTGGACTGATGCAGAAAGCTTTTTCTTCATTTCTCGAAATATTTGACATGCTTTTTTTGGCACTCTTTTTCTGGCATGCTTTTTTTGACCGCGGTGCTTCTCTTTATTTCGCTTTCTGACCTACTTGATCCACGTCTGCAAGCAGCTGCGAGGACAGAATGTTTCATATTATGTATGCTCTGTGAAACCAGGCGAGGGCTCTGACTATCACTTCAGCAGCTCCAGTGGGGCTTGCAATAACCTCGCTTTGACTAAAGCAGAGCACTTTGCCCCATGCGTTCTTATCTTGCCGCACTTTCAAGTAGACGTAAAAGAATTAGAAGGTACACTTTCAATACCTTCCGTCATGAGCCTAGTGGAGAAAATTAGGTGGGCTAACGTTAGTTAATGTCGGATGGCTCTTTCTACCTGAACGGTCTCCTTACATGCGCTTCCATATTGTGGATTCATAGCCCAGCACAAGGAATACTTTCATGAAAAGTAGTTTGTCTCACGCTTTTGATAGCATTTTTTCTGATCTTATAGCCAGTCAGGGATCTACAGCGCACAGACGCCAGACAGAATTTTTGGTGCTCAGCAAATATACAGCGCAGACCAGACGGATCAAGTCAGGCAGCCATAACTCTATGTAATTTTTATTTGAAAATCATCTCTTTGAATGGCGGCCGGCTTCTTCAGCCGTGGGAACTTATGTAATAGCTGACTATCATGGAAACCCTAGTCTAATTCCACCGTGAGCCCCCTACGCCTAGCAAATCATGCAAGTGGCTAGATAGATCTAGTGGTCTTGTAAAATTAGGTAGCCGAAGGCTGACTAGGGCTTTTCTTTAGGTCACTACCGCAAAGTGCTCCAGGGTCGACAAATATGGCTTCCAAACCTCAACCCATTGCGTCAGATACCAAACGAGCAAAATGTCGAGTCGCGGCACTTTGGTTTCTCGTCGTCCATTGAAAAAAAGAGCGGAGAGTCAGAGCTTACCCGGGTGCTCCTGTGAAGTTTAAAGTGAATTTTCTGGTAAAGAGCAGTGGATAGTTCGTGAAAGCGGTGTTGGGCAGCAGCATGACCTGCTATTCGCCGTTTACCGGCCACATGGAGGCCGGCGCTCCACTTCGGGGCCTTACGGACGTGCCTGTCGTTTGTCCTCGCAGCGCTTTTTGAAGTTGACGCATATTTTCTAGGCGACTTTGGTGTTCGCGCATCGGACAGACTGAGCACCTCACCAACAATCTAGTGCTGAATTCTTATCAGCGTCTAAAGAGCAGACACATCGGCACCCAGAGCAAGGGGGGACCGAGTTTCCATGAAGACTCATGGCCACATTCAATCTAGGTTCCCCCAATGGGTCCCACGAGATCCCACTGCCCCAACCTTAAACAAAAGGTGAACTATCCCTGTATTGTGGGAATTCTCAATTCAGATTCCTTTTCTCGTTGTACGCGATTATGCGACTTTAGCAGCTACCCTATCCGTAGTACAAATGATTCACGACTGCAAATGCTTATAGAACGCATGTCTCGCAATTTGAGCAGTCAAATCTTAGTAACAGCTTCATACTGCTCAATGGACACCCTCAAGCTGACACACATCCAGTGTATGACAGGTTGTGAAACCTTGCAGGAGAGCAATCTCGTGTGTGCACATTGCGCATAAGATAGTGACGTGAAAGATCTGGTGCGAGCTTCCCCAAATATCAAATTTACCCGGTGCCAAACGCTCCGGAATTCGGAACTGCAGATGTTCGTCAGAATTCTCGTTTTTCTAGGAATAGAACACGCGGTGAGCGTGCAGACGTACCGCGTATAGGCTGACTCCGGTGAAATAGAAAGTAAGCTCGAGCAGATACCATTTAATTCCTGAGTATTGAAGCATATATTCGAGCCCGTATCGCTGAACTCCATGCAGTAGGGGTATAAACGATGAAGCTCCAAAAATAATGAAGGTGCCCACTTTCACCTTACGCCAGCGCGGCGTTTTAAGCAAGGGATTCGAGATAAGAACACCGGTGACAGTGCCCGTGGTCAAGATCTGAAATACACGTCAGTGTATCATTGGATTGGACCCGGCTGCCAGGAGGGTAGGGTGAGTTAGTGGCGACGATCGCTCGGAAAGACTCACAAGAGCCCAGTGCAATTTTTGCAAGCTAGCTTCACAGAAGAATACATAGTAGATGCCGGAAGAGAAAGTGCCAACTGTCGCAATGACAATACCAAGCAGATCCATTCCATGCCAGAACTGTTCTACGTGATGCGAGTGGGGTTGCATCAGGTGGTAAATTGCGCTAAGGACCAAACAAGTCTCCGCACACCAGAAGTAGATTCCAAACATAGCGTAGTCCATAGACGAGACATTGAGAAATTTGGGTTCGGCCAGGTAACGCAAGAGGGCAGTTGTAACGAGTGGTAGGAGCAGAGCCCCGACCAGATGAGTGTACACATTGCAAGATTCGTTGTGCAAAAAGGTCAGACTGGTAAAGATCCCCAGATAGTCTGCTTTCGCTGGCCTATAGCCACTGAGGATATATTTGTTGTCAAACTGCCATTCAGAAATCTCCTGCCACGTTGCGGTTCGCGCTTTAGCCTTTGGCTGGTTTACAAGGTCGTTCGTTATACTCATATTGACTTTCGACACTTGCCGCTTTTTGAGTTCTGCTCCTGGCATGATCCTTCTCCCGAGATATCTGGGCTGCGCTAAATATGAAGCACAGGAGGAGTAGATGATGGAGACGAGATGAAGAATACCAAAGGGCTGGGTTGCTGAAATAAGGGTAGAGAAACAAATGAACGTCGCAAAGAAGCTGCGATGCAATATCAAGGGGTTCGCTAGACCCGCAACAAAGTGATTGCCGAGGTACTCAACCGCAGAAAGATAGTGACTTGAACTATTCACCTAAGGCAATGATATTAGGCGCGAAGGAAAATTCGACGTTAAAACCAAATTACCATGAGACAATACCGAGTAAGTAGGGCAAGCATATCAGGGGTAACGTGTGTGCAGGCATACATGTCTTTGGCCACTAACGAGCAGACTCATGGCCTCACCGCTGCCGCCTCGGCTTTGAGATGACGGATCAGCTGCTAGGGGAGGGCGCATCTACGACGCTCATTCTCGGGCAAGCTCTCCTTAACTCTCTTTAGCGTACAGTACCGCTGTACTATAGCCCCTGTGTAGCACAGCTTGATTTCAGGGCTTTACAATACAGAACACACTTCCGCTGATTGACCAACGGTACGGGGGAGCATGAAAGACAGAGACGTATAGGGAAAAGGCAATGATTTGGGAATGTATGGGTGTGAGAGCGATGTATTTGGATGGCTTCTTTTAGATTCCCGAAAAACTATCTGTGCTCGGCATGTTTCATTTCCCTAGGCTAGATATTTTCTATTGCTACGAAGGTAGAGACAACTGATCTTCATTCTTTGTAACTCTACAAGATATCACGGCAGTCGTTCTTTCAGTTCCCTGGAACCATAACCTTCTCATTTTTGTAAGGACCATATCGAGCCTGACTTCTCTACTATACATATAAAGAAAGTGTATTTACTAACTAAGCAATTTTACATAATTTCCTAAGTTTAGTCTTTCTAGCTTTCTGCAACGAAATGGCAAATTTCGTCTATCAAAGATTAGACCACTCTTTGTCGACAGCTCGGGCTACCCGCTATCCTGTCTTTCCTGAAGTATGCGTAACAAATACCAATGATATACTGGGCAGCACTGCGTTTCTTTTTGTATTAGGGCTTTAGGGTTTCAGGGCTTTAGGGATTAGGTCTAAGAATAAACCCTAAAACCCTATGTGATTTCCAGGCTAGCTACTGTCACCTGAGCTCTTTCACCGTTCAAAAAGCGGTATGGAAATGAGATGCTACTCTTTGACATCTATTCTGGGGTTTATACAACATTGAGTGGGAGGTGAGCAGTATTATGACGGGTGTCTGAATTGTGTTTGTCCCAGCAATAGGGACTCAGTTTGGTGCCGCTATACCTTGCTGTCCGGATCCGGGCAGATTCTTTGTTATCACATACAAAAAGCACATGATCAGTCCCAGGGTCGCCTGGTAGTGCCATACGTAATGGCACCAACAGCTCATCAAGTGAAAACCGTAGCATTCTGACCGCGACGTAGGTCCTCACTCAGCCGGTACCGTGCACTGACCAAGCATAAGGTGCCTGCAGATGGGGCGTCAGCTTGAATGGCGCCGTGTGTTTGAGCAGTATTGCGTGTTCTTACTGGCAAATCGAACTTCCTTTCTGCTATTCTGCCTGACACTATATCATGAAATGGCGAGCTATACAAGCTTCGTAAATCCACCATTTGGCGACTGACTTTGCAAGCTCCTCAATAACATGCATGCGACAGATATATGATGATAATCGAGGATTTTCTCCCGTCACGATGTATAGACTTCGAGAGGAAATCGTCCCAAAGGTTCCTTCTGTGATAGGAAGTGGCCGCCAGGTCCGCCAATTTATGAGCAGTGTTGCTTTTCACTTAGAGGGGGCTTTGCCAAAGCACGTGGTAATGGTGTGGTGTCTGTTACGGAGGGATTTAGTTGAAATACTCCAAAGGAGACTGAAGCTTCTCCGAGGTGCTTGCGCCTGCACTTCTGCGTCTAGTCTACCTACTCCGGTCGAAGACCAAAGCACTACCGACCGTCGCCATGGGCCTCCTGCATGGACAAAGAGAGCAAGCATTGTAATAAATCTGTCATCTGGCGCTACACAGGTCCCGTACGGCAGTCAGAACCGCAACCACAATACCGTAGATAGGCTCGAAATTTGCAGTTGCAATGTTTCATACTAGTCAGGTCAGTACTGTATCTTTGTTCGTAATGATACCGCGTGTTGGGCGGCAGATGAGCCCATACCCCTCCCACTACCCAACTGTGTTGAAGCTCTTCCTGGAGCATTGATCGGAATCCGCGCCCTTTCCATTGTGATATTGACCTGAACTTCGCAATCATACGTTTGAAGTGCGATCTTTCTGTTCCAGCATCTATATCATGCGTTTCACAAATTGATGGATTACTTTACAGGTCCATTAATTGAAAGTTTGATTTCTGACCGATTGCAGGGCACACTTGCTTGGCTGATTAATCAAAAATATCCAGAGCGGGAAATCTGCGTTCGTCGCGATGGGATTGCAGGAGCCAGGGACATGGGTTTTTTTCTCTCTCTTTCCGACCGGTTGGGGATGAGAGACGCAATGATAGCATCACCTTATAGAGGCTTTGACAGCTACATCCGCTGCCTGGCTCATGTCCTCAATGTCATTGTAAGAGATATCCTCCGTGCCCTGGGGTCGGGGAGTCAGGAACAAGGGCAAGTAGCCCGTGTCTGTTTAAAGACTGGTAACTAGATCACAGTCTATATAGTTCAAGCTTCGTGAGCTAGAAGACCAGCCTGGTATGTCCCACCGTAGCTAACCTGACTCGTACACTTCTTACGATAATGTGAGGCAACGATAAAAGCTTCAGGTCCTCATTTGGGCTACTTGAATTAATTTCATCCATTGCAACAAACTAGTCGAGAAACACAATATGCGATGCATAATAACATCTTAAACTCATACAGTCATAGCCAAAATCTTTTAAATACGGATTCACTCCGAGACTGGCACGTTGTACTCCAGAGATAGGCTACATGATGCTTCCTATGGCTAAATCCTCTACCGCTTCCGGTCTCTCCAAGGCTTCGTACCAAAGTCGAACCTTTTGAATAAAGTATTTGGGGGTTGAGGCTGTACTTTCTTAGCAACAGAATCTGGTTCGTTCTGTTGATTTATTCCAATTGCTTCTAGACTAATAGCGATTGGCAGAAGGCGTTGGGCCTTTTGTTCTTTGGATATACTCTATGCTGCATTATTACACAAATAATAGTCGGGTCCGAATTATAATTTTCAGGACCCTTAGCAATAATTTGCTCAATTATCCGTATGCTATATTGACATAACTATTGCCTGTTATTGTGTTAGAGCAGCACCCAGAAAACACATGCTATACGCAACGCAAAGGCACCGATGAAAAAAAAAGCTTTTGATCTCCCAGCCTTCCTCAAAATATTTTAAAGAAAAAGTCTAATTATGATTGCTTAAATACCTTGAATTGCCTGACATCAATCTGGTGCCAACGTCCTGAGTGCTATAATTCCGCACAGATGGCTTTTCTTGAACATCATATAGCTGCTGGGACATACAGTATTTCGCTCTCCATGGTGTTGAGTCTATCTCTCACTATGTGGCTTTTATACGTACGTGTGCTCAACTATCGTGTTGTCGAACGCCTACTAACGTAGTGAAGGTGTTGGCTACTGCCATTCGAAGGATTTTTCTCCATCCTTTGTCACATCATCCAGGACCCTGGCTTGCAGCTGCTACCCGTTGGTACCCGGCATTCTATGCATGGAGGGGCACTCTGCACACCCATAATCGGCTCTGTCACGATCGATATGGTGAGAAGTAAGAATAACCTCATGCACATAACCCTCGCTCATGTCGGTATCGCAGGACCTGTTTACCGCTCTGGCCCAAACGAGCTGTCTTTCGAAAGCCTCGAAAGCCTGCAAGATATCTACACAGCTAAGCCTGGGGTGATAGGCAAGCCGGATATTTGGAAGTGCTTGAGTGTCGATACCTCTGCCCCGAACATCCTGAGTACGGTAAATGACGAAGAGCATAGGTTTAAGCACCAGACAATCTCGACCATGTTTTCTTCGCACACGATGTGTCGCAATGAAGACCGAATGAAGCCTTATATTGACCATTTTGTTGACCTTCTTGGGGCACCCGGCCAAGATTTGCAGGAACTGTGTAATTGGCTTTCATTGGATATAATCAGTGACCTCCTTTACCATGACTCGTTCAATATGCTGAAGTCTGCGGAGCTTCGCTGGATAATGGCGGCCTACAGAATCATGTCTCGATGGGCTATGACCGTACGTCTGTGTTTACACATGCTGATTGACTTCGCTCACCGAGAGAAAACAGTGCATGGTACAGCCCAAGTCTAGATGTCTGATTTACCTACACTACTTTGTACCCAGTTTTAGGTCCATTGTCAAACTGGGTCAGTGGATGCGGGACAAATCCATTAGACACATCGCAGCAGCAGCAAAAAATGACGACCTTTTCGCATTCTTCTGCAAAGCCGAAAACAAGAAAAGTGACTTCAAATACGACAAGAAGAGTATATGGACCGAAAGTGTTTTGCTACTAGCGGCAGGTACGGCTGGCATGAATCCTGTATGTACTGGGCCATACTTGAGATTGCTAACTAAAGCCCGCTTTAGGCTCCGATACGACGTCAACAACAATGGCTGCTATTTTTTTCTACCTTTATCATAACCGAAAGGCCCTCGACAAGCTGACCAAGAGTTTGCGTAGCGAGTTCAAAGATGAAAGCGAGATCTCAGGTTCCAAGCTAGCAAAGTGCATCTACCTGCAAGCATGTATTCGAGAGGCTATGCGGCTGGTTCCAGCCGTTTCCAACTTGTCGCCCCGCGTGGTACACGCTGAAATGACCACAATAGATGGCTATTTTGTCCGGAAGAATACACACGTGGGCGTCTCTCTCAGCTCCTACAACCGAAATCGGGCCATTTTTGAGAGGCAAGACGAATTTCTGCCAGAAAGGTGGATATCAGCTGATGGGGAACGATTGAAGTTGGACCTCTTCAAGTCATTTGGAGATGGCCGCCGCCGCTGTGCGGGAATGAATCTAGCATTGCTAGAACTGGCACTTGTCGTCGCTCGCGCCCTTTTCAGATACAACGTGTCACTGCCCTCGGTGTGTCACCTGAGCGGAGATCTGGGAGGAACTGGGAAAGGCAGCCATGCTTTTGCTTTTGATGCTTGGATAGTAGCTAGTGGCAGAGTCGGCCAGATTAAGTCCGACTGCTTTGTTCAAAGAGACCAGCGTGACTGACCATCGAGTCAAGTGTATTGCGTGATGAATTGACGATCTCTTTGAGACTGCATTGTAATCACCGATTTCTACTCAAGCGTAACGGCAAAGTGAGAAAAAAAACCTGGCTGCACGGGAGGAAACCCCAACCAAATACTTTCTTGCTCGCAGCCTGCCTTTCAGGCCAAATACTTTGGGTTTACGTGAGTATGTCACTTCCTTGTACGTATATTTGACGAACAAATGACCACTATTCCTTTTCCATCGGAGCTGGATCATGTGTCGAGTGCCCGATCGATGCCTGTCAACCTCAAACTGAAGGCTTTAGGATTGAACTTTCACCCCTCGTGCGCATCTTTAATTCAGCAAATCCGCGGTTTTGTTCCAAGCAATTTTGCGATGTCCGGAGATCTAATATTCCCGGCTTCTTGTAGCATGGTATAGGCGATTCGCTGTCCCGACTTCTTCTGAGGATGTTGTACTGTTTGTACCACCAAATTACTGTCCCTGAGGATAGTGGCAGATTTCATCCGTGTAAAGGAAGCTTCCAGTGTCGGAGAGCGATCTATTTGATGGCGTACATAATCCCAATGAGCTCAGCAGCGTGAAAAGACCATCGCTCCTTGGTCCCAGCCTGCACTTGTTTGCTGTTGATCGTTCCCAGTGAAACATTCAGCAACGGCTGCTACGGCGCCCAGAACGGAGTGTCTTTCCGAGCTGTCCCAGCATACTGCGATATCCGCTGCGGCCAGTGTAGTCACGGCCCGCTTCGGTTATAGTGGACTTCGGGGCTGAGCCAATTGTTTAAATTGTTGAAGTAGTTTTCAGCTTTTGATATCAGGTCCGGGCGAACGATCCACGATTGCTGCATCTTCTGGGGCTCGAAGTAGGGCGCTCCATGTTGGGGACAGGGTTTGCAGTCTAGCGCTGGTACTTTGTGCATAATAGCACAGATGAGGGTGAGTTAGTATCTCACGTGCTTGTGCATCAAGAATTGTTCTTGCCATCATCTGAATGGCAGATAAGATGCGGATGAGAGCCATTGTCTCGTAGTGGATTATACCAGGCAATCTGGGCATGGTCGATAACTGGTGTCAAGTGGAGACCACGAGCAGGTATAGATTCATCATGCCATTACTGTAGCCCCGTAAGGACTGTTGCTCAAAGCGAGCTCACTGGGGCAGCGTAGTACAATAACATTCCATATCAGTTATATTTTCACACTCTTGCCACTTGAAAAACGTCCACTTATCCTTTCAATGTTCATGTATCTTAGCAAGAAAAGGTTTGCAGAGGTTTTATTTCTTTCAGAACCATGATGAAGGTCACATTGTCGAATTCTAAGAGGCTAGAATAGTTACAAACTAATACTTTTACTTTTCGCATCTGTTACTCAATTTCCGATATATAATATGCCCTTGCTTCTCTCAGCCTGTTCGTCAAACTTCTCCTGTATGCTTTCTTATGCAAGTATTGAAAATTCTATATTCTTTCCAAGACTCAATCTTAGCGGGTTTCATCCAAGTTAGCTTTTTTTTGATACCAACTTTCAACATCGGTCAAGAACCGACGAGAATGCAAAATTTAGATTAAATGCCACCCACAACCCGCATACCTTGGGCGCAGCTCAGTTGACCTGGGACCATTCCAATTTTAGCCAGTATAGATTTTCCAAACAATCCCTTGTAGATGCATTGGACCAACGGATAGACAAGCTCATTTCAATGAGGCAAATCAGCCAAAGAAGATCTTTGTATGATGTCCGCCTTCGCCGAAGTCGGAGGCGTGAACGTTCAATGTACCCCTTGAGAAGATCTTGGAGCACGAGCAAATTCCACTGGTGCGTTGCTTCAGACTGCAACCCCCCAATAGAGTTTGATCTAGATTGAGATTGAGGCTGAGTCCCCGTATAGCTTTCAATAAGACCTAGATTCCAGTCTCGGTGGTTTCCAACACTCACCTGTTCAGGACAAATGCGAAGCTCACCTCTTTCCGCACACAAAGCGCTCATAATCTCAATCACAAAATGGGCGACCTGCGCGGGAGCAATATCATCACTACTGGCGTATAATAGATTTATCGCTTTGATTGGACGTTTCCTTTGTAATTTGTTCATTGTAGATGAAAGAGGGAGTATCTTGTTGAACCTGCATCGCTGCTTGAAAAATCGGTTAAATCTTCGCATGGGTGATTTGTGGCAAGACTCAGCAGTCCAGTTGGGAGTGCAAGTAAATAACATTAAATACTACTGTGAGATATCACTAGCTGATCTTAAGTCTCAAATGTAGACGATTCCAAAAAAGGTTCATAAGCCAAAGACATACAGTACAGTACGCTTGGAGTTTTAACCGTTAATAAATAATTGATGAGATGCGAGGGAAATAGTTTTAATTTAGTATCAATTCATCTTAAATAATTTTCGGGGCTATGGCTCGGCAGCAAGTGGAAGCAGGAAATACAATAAGCTCTACCAAATAACGGTGAGGGCCATCTATCATAGCCCGCTGTCGTGGCCTCGTCGGCATCTTGAGGGCCAAGACGGCCTCCCAGGTCAGATTAAAAATACAGCAAAGCCCACTTAGTTTGGCGAGGGCTTAAGAACACCCGAAACTATTATATGTGATGTATTTCCACAGTTTTATCAAAAGCATAGGGCCCTGCCGTGCCACCTTGTGGTGTACCTCCAAGCAATCGCGTGACATATGTCGAGTTCCATCTAGCATTGCCCGTACCCTTCGTGATGTAGTGTTCGACTATATTAAATATTACTGGAGAACTTCCCACCAATTAAAATAATACGATGCAACAAAATTCAGGCCTTAGTGTCTTCATATGCCAGGCAAATATTTCAATCCAAAAAATGAAATTCCACATTATCTGATGTAGGTACATGTAGTAGTATGGAAACATAACCTCAATAGCAACAGACTGGCGTGGCAGACTTTGTCATTTAATAAGCTGTTGAGCAGCAATACACGACCTAGCTCTACACAAACGAGCCAGTGTCTAGTCTAATTCTGGCAGGATTTGTAGACCTACTTCCATGTTCCGATCGACACTCATGTTGTTTCACGTAATGGGACAAGCGTTATGTCTGTTAGAGTACAGCTGTATCCCTGGCTTTCCTTTGACATTATATCATTAAATACATGGGCCGAAGTTCCAACTTCGCGGCATAACAAGAATATGCCCTTATGTAGCCTAAGAGGCGATTCTTCTATAAGTCATGTGGTAAGTTACCGCTCCATATCTCAATATGCTCACACTAGGTTCAAAATTGGATTGGTGCGCCTCGGAGGAGGCAGTAGACGCATGGGCCGGACGTCCATAGACATAAGGAGTCCGGCCAATGCCACCGCCTCAATCATTACAATATTTTAAAATAGGCGGTCACGTCACTTAGTGTCCACGTCCACTTATCGTGCCAAGCCTCAAGGCAGTCACGTGCGAGGCAGATTCGTTTTTGGCATAAAAGGGCATACATAGCCAGCCTATCGACCGTCGGATCATACGGACAAAATTCTCTTCCAATTCGAAAGCGAGCTTAGAGGCTTGTTCTGTTTCGTAAATTTGGCATAACAGGCGAAATAAACAAGGATCTCTGTGTGACCAACATATAAACATTTATTTAATATCTGCTCTTAGGAGCTTGGTGTGCTTGCGCTGAACATCAGGAAACCATTACCACAACACCTCGTGTCCCTTCCGACGTTTCCGACTATTACATTTATTGGGTTCCATACACCAAGAATGGAAGCAACTCTTTTTCGATCGCTCCTATATTGCTGTTTAACCGGGCTGCTCATAGCTGTTTCATACCAACGTTTCCTAGCGAATGCCTCATTCCTGCTAGGACGGGTTGTCGCTGCTGTTATCTTGCCACCTTGCTTTGGTGCTCCCTCCTATCTGGGCGGATATAAGCCACGCCCAGAATACTGGGACCTTGACCTTGATGGTCGAAAACCAGTGCTTTTCTCCTTCAAAACCCCCTTCTCAGAAGTGAGAGCCTACTATGTACCGCCGCTCCAGCAGTCCGACGTCCAGCAATTGATTGTGGGATATCCAGGAAATACTCGCGCGGTTGGAGCCCTCATGTCAGATTTCTGGCAGCACTTCGGGCCGCATGTTCATCTGATGCTGGTGAACCCCCCTGGGTATGGCCATTTTGATGAAGATAGGTCTTCACCTATGATAGGCAGGAATGATGCGCTTCTGGAGGCGTGGCTTCGTGCGATCCCAGATACTTTGGAACGGGACTTCCTGACTTCACCAAACATCGAGTGGGAGAGATTCAATCCACGTACAGTGGTCAAAAATGATAATGTCATCAAGACAAGCGCAGGTCCAATCGATAAACTTCCAAGAACTTTTGTTGATTGGAACATCATTGGCTTTGGGCGGTCGTTTGGTGCCTTTCTTGACTCATGCTCCCCCTCCACAAGCGACTCGGACGTGTTATATATGGCGTTCCAAAGCATCGAGAAAATAAATCCGGCTGGTATCCGTGGATTGATCTGGAGACTCCTTCGTCCTTGGAATCCGTTCCCGAGCTGCGGTAGTCAACTAATTCCTGATGCATTGCAATCTTCACTGAATGAGCCTCAACGACAATTTATTAAAGGATATAATGGGACTGTTTTTACTGGATTGACGTCAAACCTTGCCCCGATTTTTGAGGCTGGAAAAATGTCTCTTGTGGCTGTCGCCTCCAGAGAAGATGTCGTTGGTAGAATGGAAGCCCCAACTCAGGGAACCGATGGTATGACATATTTTGTTCTTGAAGGTGATCACGGGGCACTACCCAATGCGGATTTTAAAAGGATCTTGAGAAAGCATTTGGACGACTGTGCAGCTGCGCATAGAGCCCGACAACTTGGACAAGAGGAAATATAGTCCGTGTTTGTAGACAAATGAGGAGTGACCATCTAGAATGACATTAAGAAGGTGAACAAAGATATCTATGTGAGCTCCTAGTGTCGTCTATGGTTCTCTATCTTTTTACGTGCAGATTACTTCCAAGGGCATACAATAAAGAATAGGTCATTCCATTTACTATATGGCATCATGGTTTAACAATGACAAGCTGCTGAGGTGTCAATACGAATACTTGTATGGCAGGCGGGGCATCAGGGCATATGAGAATGAAGAATAACAAAGACGTGGCGGTATACAATGGAGACGGTAATATTTACAGAGCACAGATAGTAAAACGAGTAACATATTTGGATACGGAAATTCTTGAAAGGCAGCAGTGAACGTGGAAGGCCCAAAGTTGTAGAATAAAAGCATAGAAGTAAAAGAAAGTGCTGGAGGCACGCGAAAGTATCGGTGTAGATTAGGGCTACGTAGGCGAGGCGGAATGACAGGCGAATAGCAAGAAGAGAGCAGCAGACAGTCTGAATGTCGAGGAAGCAGCACTGGCATAGGCATATTATTGTGATAGCGGACTGAAAGGGTGTACGGCATAAGATACAGGGATGATCCTGGCAAAGCATGCAAAGCACGATGATCAGAAAGCAGAGAGACAAAAGAGGCAAGCGAACACGAGAAGGAAGAAACGTGACCTGGGATCCAACCATGACCAATGAGAGAGAGGCTTGGCGGGAGGGTAGGGTGTGTGTCTGTCGCTGCGTTTTTGGCAGCGTCAACGTCGGCGTTGCGAAGCCGTGGGGTTGGTAACCCCTTCCACTCCGTTCCTTCGTTTCAGGGCATTCTACTACTACTACTACTGTACCAGGCGCGATGATTGTATCACTTCATCCAAGTATTTGTGATCACTGTTGCTCTGGCATGCCTCGAAAGCGCGGGCTTTGTTGGAACAGACATGTGCTAGTCCCCACTTGGCCTCATTGAGACCTGTATCACAACCACAACAGCAAGACTAGTAGCCACAATATTTTAGTTTATTCCGAGATATCATAGCCTCGATGATGCAAGCAGGAACGATAGTCTAGCTTTGGGTTCGCAATACTAGCATTAGAAAGAGTAAGCATACCCCGGAAGAATATCAATTTTTTTCATTTTGTTACTCGTGATAATAACCTCAGCACAAACCGGTTGTGGGACAGGAGTCTCCTTTTCGCCAGCTTGGCTCTTGCGCTGAATCTTCGGGACAGCCTTTCGCTCACTTGCAGGTCTGGGGCTGTGCCTTCAGGATTACGACTGTCACTTTGTCGCCATGTTTGAGCCCGTGGCCATTTCTTTATGCAGCTGCTACGAAGAAGAGAGGCGCAGGTTCTGGAACGTACAAGGCGTTCAACCGCAGCAGCAACCCCGGCCATCGGATGAATTCCTCTCACGACCGACACTTGAGCTCTGCTGCGCCCCCACATAGGCTTTAAGTACTGAATAATATTCTTGCAAGTCTTCCATTTCAATAGCAACGCGCAAATCCCCTACTATGATGTGTCAGTCCCCTGCAGTATCTCCTCTCATTTGACATTCTCATATACGTTTCATGTGATACTGATAATGCTACTTTAGCAAACACCTGGCACAGTGCAGTCTCGCATGCCCATCTCACCGACGTCGAGTCCCAGGAAAATTCTAAGAGAATATGCGATTCCAACCACGATCTCAGCAGTCGTTATCGCGGAGATATATCTCCTGGCAATTCTGCTGGCACTGATGAGTACAGCCATGGTGTTCCATCGACTCCGAGCAAGGTGGTCAACTTCCCACGCGCCGCGTATATTGAAGAAACTGGAACAAGAGCTGGTGATGCGAAAAAACAGCCAAAGTTTACTGTTGCGAGTCAGTTGCGGGCTACGATTCTGAATTCCTGGATCAATGTGCTTGTTCTCGCTGCGCCGGCTGGTATTTCGTTGCACGTTGTCAAGGGAAATCCAATTGCCATCTTCGTCGTTAACTTCATTGCGATTATCCCACTGGCCGCGATGCTGAGTTATGCGACCGAAGAACTCGCTCTGCGAACGGGCGAGGCAATTGGAGGATTGTTGAATGCCTCCTTTGGAAATGCGGTAGAGTTGATCGTTGCTATTATCGCGCTGGCCAAGGGAAATGTTCAGATCGTGCAGACTTCGCTGATTGGAAGCATGCTCTCGAACCTGCTGCTTGTTTTGGGAATGTGTTTCTTCTTTGGTGGTATCGATCGTGTCGAACAGCATTTTAATATCACTGTCGCACAGACCGCAGCGAGTATGCTCGCATTTGCCGTGAGTAGCTTGATCATCCCCACTGCCTTCTGTATATGGCCCACCACCACCGACGTGGACAAAACCGCCAGTCTTTCCCGAGGAATCAGCATTCTTCTCCTGATCACTTACGGTTGCTACCTGTTCTTCCACCTGAAATCCCACGTCGACATATACAGCCGCCCTGGACGCAAAGTCGAAAGACGCCACAAAAAGATTCACCGAGGCGACACGAGGCGCGGAATCGCTCAGGTGGCCAGAATTTCTGCTGTACTCATGGGTGGAAGCGTGCGCCAAATCCAGATGCAAGACCCACATAACGAGCCTGAGCAGCCACAGCTGACCATCCTGGTCGCATTGATTACGCTAGGCGTTTCAACTACGCTTGTAGCCTTCTGTGCAGAGTTCATGGTTAGCTCCATCGATGCACTCACCGCCACTGGTAGCATTGGTGAGACGTTTGTTGGGCTGATTCTTCTTCCCATCGTCGGCAATGCAGTAGAGCACGCTACCGCCGTGACAGTTGCTTGCAAGGATAAAATGGACCTTGCAATAGGTGTAGCCGTGGGATCAAGCATGCAAATTGCGCTACTAGTTCTGCCTCTGATTGTCGTTATTGGCTGGATCATGGAGGTTGAAGACATGGTACGTACTCATCGCGAGCCCTCATTATCATCTTGATAAATCCTCTGGGATATAAGGATTAATACTAACGACAACAGACGCTCAACTTCCAAGCTTTCCAAATCGTCGTCCTCTTTGTAGCTGTCCTGCTTGTAAACTACCTCATTTCGGACGGCAAGTCTCACTGGCTTGAGGGTGTCTTGCTTATGATGATGTATCTGATTATTGCTATTGCTGCTTGGTATGTAGGTTCTTTATCCGGAGTGCATGACTATATAGCTGATGAGATGCTAATCCTCGATAGGTTTATGAACTAATCTATTGTGGCCTGATGGCTAAAAGTACCTTGCTCAATCCTCATATTTGAGGTTTTGCAGTATCATCGAATACGCTCCTGCTGGAGTGTAGTCGTCATGAAAATAGCTGATTGGCTACCCATATCCTCTTGGTTTTTTCCTTCTTTTGATCTAAGTTGAAGCTCTCTATTCGATGATCTCCTCATCTGAAAGGCCGACGGACCACGTATGTCAGATAGCAAATAATTATCGTCGGTTATCCTTTCCATTTATAAAGAAACTACATGCACAGTGCCCATAATAGACAACAAATGATCAAACAGTCAAAATTGAAAGCCAAGAGGCGGGACCATCTCTCAATATTGAAGGACTAGTGTACCAGCTGGCCAGAACGTATTATTAAGATTCAGATAAGAGGCCCATTTCATGCTGAAGGTTTTAGTTCAGTTCATACCTTTTTTTGACTCAAGTATATACTAAAGCATGTATACAGTACCGTAGCGAGCAGAGTAACCGTGCCGAAATATCAACGAAGTACCTTGCGCAACAGCCATTATATATCAGATCTTCATTCACATTGGCTGTGACAACGTCCAGACCTAGCCCCACAAATTCTCATCAGTTCCATATTCGCTCCATAACCAACGAAAGCTAAGCTGTTCTTCACTACTTTGGCCAACTTCATCTAATTATTACCATACGAAACCTCTGGGGCTCCTCCTCCTTCATGCCTTGGTATGTACCTGACATGAAATATTGCACAAAGTTTATTAGAGGAAAGTTTACCCGTGATGTGCTGTGACGGTTTCTTACATTAGCCCAACTTGGATGATCTGTCGCGTCCAAATTTGAGGGCCAGCTCCCAGTTCAAAAATGTACTTCTTCCGATCTAAAAATAGGGATTGCCGGCAGCAGGAATGCCCTCCCCCCTAATGTTCCGACAAGAATATGATTGGAAGACTTTTTGGAAGAGAGTGCCCCACTCTCTATTATAACATTGCCCCAAAAAGTCGAGCCTGAGTCTCGACGTAATTCCCCGATTAGGTGAATTTTGGATACGGGAGGGACCCGCCAGTAAGCGGGAGGGACCCCCCCACGAAGTGGGGCGGCCGTACGGCCAGCGAAGCAGAGGTGAGCGTACTTACCCGAAGGGTACTGGCGCTTTAGCGGCAGCAAATTGAACGAGCGATATGCGAGACTAACGGAAAGGCGGCTGCAGGATTGCAGCCAATCAAATTGCCCTTGTGGGCAAAAAATACGCGGTAGCGTACCGGCAGCGTACTGCCATCCCTATAGGGGCGGTCAGACACTGACCGCTGACGAAAGAAGGAATTCTTGGCATGAGCCTGTGAGTCTGGTATAATTACCAGAAGCAGTAATTCTTGGCAGATACTGCCAACACATGTAAAACTCACGTGAGAACACGTGAGAATAGTGAGCATACCTGCTTACGCCAGTGTCGCAGATTTCGGTAGAAATAATCACATGATAATTCCAGGCTGAATACAGCAGGAATTATAAATAGGCCGGGTGTTCCCGCCCTAGATTATACATCACACCTTTAAATAAAGGTGCTCCTGTCGCAAATAAATATTTAAATTTTGCGCCTCATACTTGAAGCAATGGCGTCGCTATTGCAAAGGCTCAGTAAGCACACAACATGTGCTTCGGCCAGTTACACGGTTACGTCAACAAGGTTGAAAGCTGAAGATGAAGCTGAATCTACTTTACTCAAAGCGCAGCGCGCGTTGATGAACAACATGGAAGCTCTGGGAAACCCAGAGTGGGTGTTAATATGCATTCCGGATGGAATCTCGGATTACTACACCATGAGGTATGTGTTTGAGTTCCGCGGCAAGAGACCGCCGCGGCCTATAAGAATCGAATGTCCCGACATTCACGCGGACAGCACATGTCTCTACGAGCATTCTTTTCAAGAAACAATTGAATATCACTTGTACGACCGAAATCCGTACGTGATTTTGTATGACAGTGCAGGATGGAACAGGATGGAACAGGACCTTTGAGGTTGACTATGGGGGCATAGTCACCCAATATACCCTGGAAGGATTTGAAAGAAGTCAAATTGCAAACGAACAAAATGTTCGATTACTTGTAAGTTAAGCGCATGTTGCGATCATAATTAACATCAAAATGTTAACTTTGAAAGAAGATTTTACTACATCAGAACATCGTTTATTGGATACAACGGAGTGTGACTTTTCGGAAGGATTTGAGTACTTAAGTGAATATATATAGTGTAGTGGGAAAATCACGAGATTTGTATGATTACTGCCTCAGGCAGTGATATCCTCTAGGAAGGGTTATGGGCAATCTACGACTGTAGAGAAGGATAGACAGTTTCAAGAATGCCACTCATTTCCTGATTCAAGATCTATGATCATTATACTCCTTGATATAGCATCTGATTATTCCTGATAGGCATCATCTGTCTAGAGCTCACAGACCTGACTTGTTGTTGGGTTTTCTTGCCACCATTTGTCGACCCGTCTGTTTTGACCAGACTGCCATCGAGCATATCCCATTTCAATATCTACAACATCAAGTGTTGATGGGAAAAACTTGGGGGGCCCCAGGCTCTGCCTGGGGGGCGAAGCCCTTAGTTACGAAATAGTTGAGTTAAATATACGTTCACAAAGTGTACTGATAATTCTATAGAATTAACCCAAGGTGGTGTCTGTTTGTGTTTCAAACAAGAAAAGAAGATAGCATGGAGCGCAGCGACTCGGTACGCGGAACAAGTACACCAGGCTGAATCAGCCTGGCATGAACTATAAGTAGTTCGGGTCGGACCTTTTTTTTTTAATAAAAAATATGAAAGTATTTGATACTCAGTATGAGCTTTTTCCTTTCGGAACAAAGGAGGTTTATCCTTTCGGAGTTGACTGAACATTACTATGCCTTTTGTTACCGACGCCCGACAACTTATCCAGCGGACTAATCCTTGGGGCCTGGAGGGCCATTGGCACTCCTGCTGTATGGCCCGTGCTTCTTTCCCACAAGTCCTCCATCCTCGATGAATTTTCTAGCCACTGGCGGGAAGCGCTGTATCAGTTTCTCACACTGCGAGTTATTATCCTCTGACATGTACATATAGTCGTCGTTGGCCTTACAAGTCTTGGCGACAGCTTGGACCAGGCGCTTCTCTTCCGCCGGGAAGATGTTCATGGCGCTGCGCCAGATGTTCCCCGAGCGCGGCATGAGATAGTCGAACGCATCCTTGAAGCAGCCGTCCTTATTGTAGGGGGGTTGATCAATGGATAGGACGGCTGTAGTCCTGTCGAAACCCGTCTCTGGGAAGTGGAATCTCGCGATGGGCGCGTCGAACATGCGCCGCTCCATGAAGTCACCGCCGTACGCCGCGGTCAGCTCCATGCAATCTACGCCGTCCCCGGTGGACCAGAGTTTGATGCTGATCGTGTAAGGTAGGAAGATGTCGGTTCTACGGGCGGGCGTGAAATCGAGCGTGCTGCCTCTCGAGCCGAATGAAGGTGTGTACCACTCAAGCAGCGCGTCCCATAGCCACCACAGCAGTGGGGCCTCGTCATTGAAGCTGATCGGCTTCTCGAAGCGCTTTATGAGCTGACAGCTTCACCTGTCAGCGTATCGCAAGCTCGGCAACCGGAGCAGGCTGTGGTCTGCGAAGAGCGCCGCCTTTATGTGGGGTCGCTGGAGCGTTCCGGCCATTTGGAAGCCGAATCGCCCAACGAGCTGCGATACGTCTTCGGCGGCATTCTGCATCTCGGCGAGCAGGACTGTGGGCTCTGACGAGAGTGGCATCCCGGTGGGATGGTGCAAGGCTACACTGCTAACCGGCCGGTTCTGGAGACTAGCGTTCGCGGCGTGCCCACAGTCAAGCGGCAAATCGTGAGTGTCTGTTGTGGTGCTTGGAGTGGCTATATTCCCGTAGCCGGTACTGCCGTCCGCGATCGTGCTCGAGTCAACTGTATTGTCTATTGTGTCGACCAGGTGGTCGGACCGCCCAGAGAAGTACCCAAAGGGATCCTTCATTATATAAGTCGTTCTCGGGAAGGACGAGTCGGTGTAGTGATTGTAGGGGCAATAACAGAAAGAAATCATGAAGCACGGTTTCTACCAGCTTGATAGGACATCAACCAAGCATTTATACCATTATAATAACTCGGGTATTTGGTAAGAATTACTCAAAGTGATGGGTGACTCACTATTAAATGAGGTACAGCCACCATTTTACCCTACGCCCCCGGTCCCGTCTGACGCAGTGGGTGCTGACCACACACCGCGGGCGAAAAGCATCAAGCTGTGGTAGTTATGTTGTAAGCGGCCAAACTAGCGCTAAGCAGGTGCTCTCTAGGCAGTACCCAGCCTCACAGACGACGTAGGCCAAGAGCCTCCGGCAACGCGGCGAACCAATTAGAGGTAAATGTCACCGCGAGAAAGTGAGGGACTTTTCATTTTCCATCGCACTGGGAGGCGCAGCAAAATTGGAAGACCGGAAACCCAATCGCTTTTAATTTGCAACATCAACTTACAATATGCCCATGCTCGCTCGAAGTTTGCCATGTACTCCCTGTCTGTTCATATTTCCATGTCTTTTTGTGCGAATTTCCGTCGTTTCAGGCAGAGAAATGCCCTTGGAAAAGTAAGTATTCCGTAGTCGGACTGATTACACTTTTAACAGTTTTCATGACCTGCATAAAAGAGGACACTTAAAAAATCTTGCTGCAATTAAATACATGCAATACCGGGCTTACTTTGATCGCTTCATGAAGGGCAGCATTTAGACTCACTTTTTTCAACGATAATAATGGCTTCACAGAGAGGACAATTAGACGTCGATAGGAAGAGACGATAGGCCTTAATGTAGATGCAGTCAGGTCTCTATCGTAGTAAAGGTAGGCCACGTCGAATATATTGTTATTAGGTGTGTTCCACTGCTGAGAACAATGTAGGGCTATAGTTTATACAGAGTACGGACCATAATATGGCTAGGTATTGCTATAGGATCCAGATCATACTGCTGCGCGATGCTTGCTCTAAAATAGATATCTAGTGAGGCCGGTGAAAGTAAATAGCTCGTGTTCCCAGAGTGCTGTCCCTGTCTCAAGGTCTCGAATTTAACATACCAAATCCATCTTGCTATCTTAATTCTTCCCTAGCCTTTAGGTCAGCTTTCGTATCCATCAAAGGGCCATCAGCTGAGAAGATATTTTGCCGTAAGACACTATTTGCTATTTTGGAAACCAATACCGAACCGTTTTCCAAAAAATTTTGATGCTTGTTGTCTAGATGCCATTAAGGTATATGAAAGTCAATAGTTACCGAAAAGTGGCAGGTGACAGTACCACTTCCCAGGTCTCGTATAGTGCAATGTGCCGAAATTTCATGAAGCCCAACCCCCGGCTCATGATGGATCGGGCTACGTATACATAGTGTCTTGAAAAGCCATGTCAAGGATATGATAGACTCTAGTCGAGAGCTGGGCCGGACTGAATATCGACTTTGTGGGTTATGCAGAAATTCACCAATTTCCATACTAATATCTCTGTAATTAAGAGGACTTAGACCGCCGCAATATTGATATGACCACGCTCTGGGAAGGTTTTTACAACGCTAACCCCCATTTTCCTTGATTTGAAGTACCCTGACCGATGCATATAATATAACGTTAGTTGGTCAAATGGGTGTGCAAACCTCAGAAGTGTTGCCAGCCCTGGTGCAATGGAGCTCCGTAATGTTGTCAAGTTTAGTGACCTATGGGACTATTTTGGGAGAACTCTCTTGCTCCTTGTCGCAGAAAATGGGTATGGTCCAAAAGTCCAACTTTCAGTTGTCGCAAAGAAGCCGTTCATATCAACTGTAGGGACCTCCAGGTACGGATGACACCTAAAGGTTGCGCGAGAACGAGGCCATGAGACGATTCTCCAGATTCTTGAATCCGCTCAATATCGAGACTGACTTAGGTCTAGCTAACTCAAGCTAAATTGTCAATGATGGATTTCATTTAAATCAAAATCCCCAATCGTACCATGACAATGAGCAAGAGGACCGAACCTGATTGCTGAGGGCTGAAATATGAATTGAAATTGGGAGTAAAGAAGATAACTCATATTTCCTGGTAATCGAGTCGAGAAATGACTGTGAGACACGATCTCATACCTGGAAAACTGAAACTGTTGCTATCTTGAAAGGTCGACGCAACTACAACATAATTCACATCATCTACACTACGCTGGATATAGCACATCACCAAGGTTAGCTTATATGTGACGCCGTTTAGCGTAAGACTCCAGAAAAAGCTCAATATAATTACATATGCTGGCGTCATACACGAACACAATACCCTCCGCCCTGGCTGCAAAGGGGACTCGAACGAATATTTATCGAGGAAGAGGGAGCCAAACATGCGTCTCAGAGAAAAGCTAGATGAGGCTGTAGCTTTGAAAATTCCATTTAGTTCTAAAAAGACTTTTTAAGTCAATCGTGATGGAACAGATTTGCTCCGAGACCTAATATCTGATGCTTAGTTCTCCCGATTCGAGACAAATTGGCCGGTGCCAACAAATGCACGATCTTCGAGATCTTTGTCTTAACCTATAGTCAAGTTAGACATCTCGCTTACTAAAATAACTCTAGTATAGCGTGTGTTAAATCAAACTTAAAGTTCGCCGCAAAAAAATGATGTCAGCGATACATATCCATCCCCTCAAAGCACGCGCTTTTTTTTTTATAGGTTTACTGAACTCGGTTTCCGTTTCCTCTGAAAATGTACCATCAAAGATTCTTCTCACGTGCTCATCAATCGCAACAATGCCATTCCAGCTCATAGCAATCTTTGTCAACTCAGCAATTTTGTACTAAGGCTTTTTCGACTTGTATCGTAACTCTCTATCCCCGTCGTTGTCCCCTTCCTTGACTCCGCTATTTATATGAACATAGCCCTACCATTTGGATTTGAATCAAGGGAATGTCGTTCCCCATACCTTACATTTTCTTTCTTTTGACCTTTTTTGGACCCTTTTTTTCACGGGAGTAGTTTCATCCCATTAGCTCCCTTGAGTTATATCTCATGTATTATTAAATAACGGGTGTTCAACTCACTGCTAAGTAAGGCTAAGCCAACCTGGTATAAATACACTCAAGTTAGCATGGGGCCGCTGAAGCCGGTTGTGGTATGGACCCTTGATCGGCGGTAGGCGCACGTGACGTCGTGAACCCTTCAATGCGTTTGAGGACTTGCGTATGAATCTGGGATTGAGGCGAGATTTTGAGTATTCTCGACGATACGACATTTGAAAAGAACCACTTTTCCTTGTGTTTATGTTCACTTGGAAGAAACTTCACAGAATCGGGCATGGTATGTAGCTTGGCTCCATGTTGATGCTTCAAGACCAGCGTAAGGCAATCAAGACAAACTTCTTCAAGAAGAAGGGAGGCTTGTCGTTTCCCAGAAGCAAGCCGACTCTGTAGCCCGAAACGGGTGTTTCTACTTTAAACAGAAGGGCAAGCAGGCTGCGACAACTTTTCCGATATAGACCATTTTCTTTGTCCAAAAAACCGATTACCATGATGACCAGAATGGAGAATTTCCCTCGCAAGATCATTCAAATCATCAATGCCAGAGACAGAACTGTCATATTCAAGAAAAGACATGATGGCTTGATGAAAAAGATTCACGAGTTGAGTATACTTAATCAAGATACATTTCTTTTCGTTCGGGACCGTGAGACCAAAGAGTTCGAATGTTCTCATCAAGCAGAGAACAATTTATACCTCATTATGCAAATATCAAACAAGAGGACCGGAAAGGTGGCAAGCATATGCAACGTCACTATAGCAAAACGAGGAAACCAGCCGCGCCAAATATCATGCCGCCCCTTCCGCGAAGAAATGAGACCCAGAGGCACTTGCATTCATCGCTACTCCAACAAGGTCGAGCTTATCACAGAATATTGGAGGGTATATTATCACTACGATTCCAATAGCGGACCAAAACGGTTCCCCGTCCCATCTTTCTTGTCATACCCCGCAATCCGAATAACCATCAGTCTCTGTACATATAAATCTACCGCCAAGCATATAGAGGCGGGTTCACGCTGGCCCACATCGTCTATCTGTATATACTGCCCGTTGCACATTTAGCTCAAAATTTACTTCTGTTGAACCTCTACAGCATTTCATCTGTATATAGGACTCATCAGATAAAGCACTGACTGAGGGCTTCAATTGCTGATTTCTGTGTTATTTTCGGTTGTTCACTCTGGCTCTTCTTTGTCTATTCTGACTGGGAGCTGACTAGGAACAAGCTTGGCAATTCTGAATAAGGGCCAAAACCTCGTTTCATTTGAACCCTCGGCTCATGTTGGTCCATCATACAATAATTTGCATTTTAATCGGTGCCCCTTCTGTATGGTATTCCATACTGGAAGAGGGAGATATACATTGTAAGCTGCTCACTTCAACAAGAATAAGGTCTAAGCGAAGCAATCTGCTGCAATTCTGAGTGGCAGAAGCTTAGAGAGCTTGTTCAAATCATGTTTTTGGGGCATTGATGTCCAGATATGTTCTAAGCAGGGGCTGTAAGCGGAATAACTGCTAGCAGATTCCGTTGGCTGTGACTCAGATATAATCTCGAAGAAGGAAATCAAATCAAGATTATAGCAGATTTGAATGTCAGGTCAATTCAATCTCAGCCAGCTCCAATATCTACTCGTACACAGAGTCGTCGCTCACTGAGAGCAAATGCTCCAATGGGACTATGCCAAAATTTGAATCATCACAGACTAGCTATCAAAAAGCCTTCGTCATGGTACAGTAGCAGCCGACGGATTGAATAGGTCACATCTTATTTACTCCTCCAGATCATGAATAGAATTGTTAACACCCAAAGATATTTGGAACATTATTATCACAACGCTCTCCAAGTTGCCAATTGTACGATGACTTCCAATATCTCCGCACCTCAAGCGAGAGCACCGATAATGTCTTGGTGCTGGAGGAGTCAAAAAACACCGACTCCACGAATGGCACAA